TGGCGGGAAGTGTTTGACGACGTACGCGACGGGATTCGACATTATTCATGTCTTGAACAGCGCGTCATATTCGTCAAACAATGTTACCCTCCCATGCTAAATTTGGCTTACGCCAAAAGGGGTGACCACGAGAGCATCCAAACAAAAGTGGCTAAATAGATAGACACGCTTGAAGTCGCCGAAGTTGGCTGAGAAATGCTTCGCATTAAAAAAAAAATATAGTGATGATTACGATCCCGCACAATGCGAATTCTGAGCGCGGCTGCGTATTTTGGCAAATTCCAACCCCGTTTGAAGTGTTGGTTATCCGTGATTGTAGCAATGTGATATTCGTCACAAAATGCCAACTGTCAGCGGTCGAGAGCTCTGCACTGCAGGCGTCACGAACCAATTGAAACGCTCACATCCCCGACAAGCGAACGCAGCCGCAGAGCACGTGCCAGCCCTGCAAGCGCGTGACGAAGGAAGATGGCGAGGCCAGTGGCTCGACTCTCTTTCGTCCTCGTTCGCCCTATCCGTGGCGCCAATGGTAACGCCCCTCAACGCTGGAGCGTATAGCTGCGCTCTGAAAGGTCCAGATGCCACCGTTTGATGACGCGACGATGATTAGACTGTATAGAAAAGGACGAGTCGCCGTTTACATGGCGAAGCCTTCGATGGATGACTTCTTCTTTATTCCAACATTCGACCCTGATCTTAGTCCATGCTCGTCCAGCTTCTTCCCCACTACCTTTGTTCTTCGTCTTTATGTCGGTGCCACGCACGATTTCCAACATTCTCTGCATCTACAAATGAACTCAGGGTTTTCCTAAAGTTCTCCCGAAGAGGCCCTTGAACAGGCCGATGTGGTCCTTTCACAAATTTTGAGGTTTCGGATGCCCGAGCGCTTCGCGGTCCACCGCGCTGCGCTATAGGCACCCTACTGTGGACCAGAGGGCGCGACGAAACTGTTTGGGCCGCCTCTGCGTTGTTGGTACCGACCGCCTGGGATACTAAGACGATGGTACGCTCGCTGAACACAGTGACACGCTGAAGTGTCAGTGCCCTTTTGAGTACATTTTCAAAGAACGCTTCCTGGGCGCCTACATAATCAGCCGTGACCCCCTTGCTCACAACTAAAGAAGAAAATGATATGCACGTGCAAGTTCGGTTTTGCTGCGTCTACTCGCTAGGCTGTGTATTCTGGCGCTACTATCAGATCTCGTAAACTGCATTGCCGGGTGCCTATACGCGACTGAACGGTTCTGTCGCAGGCGCGCGCAGCTCGCCACCTCCTTTCTGCTCTTAACAGATGGCCACGCGCCAGCTGTGTTTGCGTGTGCGCCGAGAAAAAAAAAAAAAGGAATCTGCACCTGTCGATGAACGTTGCGAATATCGCGAGCGGAGAGCGACGTAGTTGCTTTCAGCAGCCGCGATACATTTACGCCGTGTGTTTTGGAGCGTGCTGGGGCTGTAAGTAGGATTTTACGTGTTTTTGCATTTGGTCTTATTTTATAGCGCTGCTTTTGAGTGCTTGTTGAATTATTGCCGCTGATAACTTGTGCCGTGTGCGCACGGCGCCGTTTCGTTCACCGCATGCATATGCACAAGATGAAGTGGAATTTCTTTTCTGCGAGCGGCAAATTATGCGTCCATACTATTGTAGCGATAGCAATGTTCGCTTTGCCCGACGCAGACAGTGCTCACCGGTCGCGAACGGCCTTGCTTCTGCCCTTTACGAAAACGAACCTTCGCCTTTATTCACCCTTGTATTGCTGACCGCTCCTTCAGGTGTCAGCAGTTCGCCCGGTCCAGTTAAAAGGGAGTCAGATCACTTACGCGGAAAGCTCAAGAAAGGAATGTCCAGAGCATTCTCGCTCGAAGCTACTCCTCCGTTACAGTGGAATCTGTGATTTCAAATCAAATCAAATTTATTTCATCTTTCGAAGAAAGAGGAAAGATAGGAGCTGTCACAAAAAGCTTCTACAGTGAGTAGCTTGACGAGGCGACAGCCCCCTCTTGGTGGGACATTTCATATCCTTTTCCTTTCTTTGTTTTACGTATCTATTTCGCCAATTAAACAACCTATACTACGCGCCCGCAGCCCCACCTTCCGCCGAAAGAAGCTCACTCTCAGCCTGCTTATTCCGCGTGTAAGCAAAACGTGCGGCAGAGTCGTGCAGGCGGTTAGTACGTTTACACGATTGCCGTGGATGGTGCGCACGTGGCGGTGCGCGTTAAGGGGCTGGAGATTTTTATTTCACCGTGGGCTGGACACACGGCCGTCGACGGCGGCGTCTTACGAAGCCCGTCGTCGTGGGAAGGGGCGTGTCGAGGGCGAGCACGCAGCTTCTCCTGGCGGCGATCGCAGGAGTCAAATATGCGGCGCTTGGTTTCGCGTCGAAGGAAAGGCGTGTTGCTTTGCGCAGCCGTCCGCGATGCGAGGAGGAGGGTGGACGAGTCGGAATGTTTGAGGGATGCGGCTCGGCTGGATGCTGTCTCCGCGCGCGCTCACGTAGAGGAGGAGGAGGAACGGGATAATCGGGCGGACAAAGGCGCGAAGGGTGTTTGGGGAAGCGAAGGGAGAGCGTAGTCTCCGCCGGCGGCGCTCGGCGCGTCGGGCTAGGCTTGGCGCTGGTACGAGTCTCGGCGGCAGCGGCTGCTGCTGTTTTCCGGGGTTCCTTCGTCGTGCCCGCCATGAAGCGCGGTTCGAGCGAGCAGAAGATCGCCAAGCGACCCACGTCCATCATCGGCGGCGGGGGTTCCTTGTCCTCCCGAGGTTCGTGTAGTGTGAGTGGAACTCGGGACGGCTGTGCGATGTTTCGCACGAAATTGGTGAGCGGAGCTCTCGTCACCCTTGCGTCACCGACGGAAGCGAGCGGGTGGAAGTGATCATAGGCGTTTTGTTCGGTAGACCCGTCGCATGTGTTTCCCTTTCCCTCAGTGGCTGAAGGGTCAGTGTGTGAGGGAGGGCCCTACCTGCTTACGTATGGATACATCGTGGGTCGCGTGGCAGCATCCCGTGGCCGTGAAAATGCGCGACAAAACAATGGCTAGGTCTTAAGTAATGCACAGGGAAAAATGAAAGCAAACATAGCAATTAAATGTCCTTTGCATCTCACAGAGTATGTGAAGTTCTGATGCTCTGCACTACAATACTGCATAGCGCATGCCTGGATTAACTTACAACTAGAGTACTTACAAATATTCTTGTAAGAGTGCACAGCAACAATGGAAATTGTGGACATGCCTCACACTGCGACCTACAGTTGACCAAATTGTAGTTTGGTTTTTCTTCGCCGTGTGTTCACGGCTTGGGCCACTCAGTATTTTTAAAATCTCTTTTGCAGAGGTGGGCTGATTTTGTTTACAAATGAGGAGACAGTACTCTTTTATTTGCCAACAACATGACAATACAGTTTGATTAGTGTTCACACTGCTTTTCTGTACTTGAATTGGCATTGTCAGGCACATTCTGAAGGACTTGCAAATTTTTCATGTTGCCTCCACGTTAACAACCATATTGTAGACAGCACTGTTTGAATGTAGTGCACATCCCAATTCAAGAAGAGTGGGCAAGGGGACTAGAGTTCCTTCAGTCTTTTGAATTCTCACAACTTTAAGCCTACTGTTACCGTTCATCCCCCGCCGCGGTGGTCTAGTGGCTAAGATACTCGGCTGCTGACCCGCAGGGCGCGGGTTCGAATCCCGGCTGCGGCGGCTGCATTTCCGATGGAGGCGGAAATGTTGTAGGCCCGTGTGCTCAGATTTGGGTGCACGTTAAAGAACCCCAGGTGATCGAAATTTCCGGAGCCCTCCACTACGGCGTCTCTCATAATCATATAGTGGTTTTGGGACGTTAAACCCCACATATCTATCTATCTGTTACCGTTCATCATCCTTTTACACAGCATTAAGTGAGTACCTTTGTAGTCCTAAAGAGAACATTTTTTGCCCCTTTGCATCAGCACTTTCAGAAGGCACTTACTCACATCCACTAACCAAGAACGAGCATTTACCCTCAAATATGTAGTAGTAATACTTAGAATTAGAGCTATTTGTTGAGGGGGAGGGATCAGCTTACATTTGAGCATGTGTATAGAAGTGACAGTGATTTGGGATTATGCAATTACCAGGCATGTCACTGTTGGAAAAACCAATTAGGTATATTGGAAAGACATAGCATACTTTATCAAAATGCAGAAACAAGGGTGAATGTGCCGAGAGAGGTATGCATGCCCATTGCAAGAGGTCGCAAACGTTCTAGGTGTTTCTAGAAAAAACGCCAGACACCTGTCTACTTAAGCGCATCGAGTTGACTCAGTCGGGGTATTAGCAGGATCTCTGTGGAATAGAATGAAGTTATAGTTGATCTGATACTGCGAGCATGTCGTTTGCAGAGCCCCTCATGTCCAAAGACTGAAAAGAGCGCAATGTACTGTGAGAAGAAATCAGAAGTGAAAGCTAGTGGTCTTTTGAAGATCACTTACGCAGCAAGTGCTTTTGACGAACTTCGGTAATCGCAAAAAAATTCACATAGTTTGTATTTAAATATCGTCTTCCATTATTCAGGTCATATTCAAATAAAGCTATATATATATATATATATATATATATATATATATATATATATATATATATAAGGTAGAGAAGTGTGTTCTTAAGGGCTCGTTTTTCCGTGTTTTGACACAACATTAATGAGATCTAACCGACAATAATGCCAAGGAAAGTATAGCGGAAGTTATTAGATTGATATGTATTGTACATGTGAAGAAAGAAAAGTGGGGGAAAAGATAACTTGCTGTGGACAGGAATATATATATAGTCAATTTGAGCATATTCTTGGACACAACTCTTTTAATAAATGCTAGGCAAACTCTGTACACCTGTACTATACATTCTTAGATGTAGCAAATGCAACTTGCAGTCTTCAAGGATATGGTAGATGGATGAGCGAATTGCATATTTTGTCTTGGTGCTTTAAAGATTTATCTTTATTTTTTCCCCTTTTGTGTGCACAGGCCCTGAAGCTAGCGGTGAGGAGCCTCGTCTTTCAGACACACAGAGCACAACTTCATTGTCACCTAAGGTGAGCTGTGGTTGCAGCATTTGCGTAAAATTCTCGACTATCTGGCACTATTCATTATTATAACATGTTTTGCTTTCGCCTGCACATTGTATGACAGGTTTTACACTTGCTATCAATCAAAAGATTTCTTGCAAGCCCACATTACTTGTGGTGCCTGTAAATAGTGACTAAAACTTGGGCATTCGGGTGCAGGATTGTTTCGGTACTCTATTTCATGCTTCAGCAAGCAGCGTTGTGAAAGTTGGAGAAGTGGTTCAATTGTGCAAAGCTCACTTTGTATTCTTTGCAGTGTGGTTGTTCTAAAGAAGAAACGGAAAATAGACATGATACAAGGTGAAAGCACATAAGGCGAGTACGGAGAAAAGGCTTGACACGCACAAGTGCTTGTGCATGTCAAGCCTCTTCTCTGTCCTAGTCTTATGTACTTTCACTCTGTATCATTGCAAACCAAAAGTCCAAACAGCTACCCTAGGATGACAGACAACCACCCATATTGTAGGGCAAAGCTGCTAAGAAATCCGCATGGATTCTTGAGAAAAAGCTCTTCTTAGTTGCTGGAGAATTTGTCAGGCCCAGGAATAATTTGCATTACTACAGTTGTTTCTGATATAAAAGTAGTTTTATGTATTAAGGGTGCCCTATGGATGAAACATTACGTCTAATAACACATATGTGCATACCGTGTGTGCTGTTTTATATGTTTTTTTCCTACGTTAAAGATGGCAACTAATATTACATAATTACATCATGCGTAGCTATATTTTCTGTAAGTGTGCAGGATTTTTTTCATTTGCAAATGTGACAAGTTAGAAAAGGATGTTGAATTGGCTAACTACATATATACAGCCTTGCCTGCTACATATAATGAAACATGCACCGACACCATGTTAACATAGCATTGACTGACTTTATTTAAAATTTACTCTTGACTGTACGTGATGCTTTAAACTTTAGCGTACTATTACTTAATCACTCTTCATGCATCCACTGCAGAGTCACAGTTCTTCTGGTGAGATAGTAACTGTGACTCTAGATAGTTACTATTTCACCATTTTAGAGATTTGTGCCATTGGTATGGGGTACTGCAAGGGAGCTGTTGGAAAGGGGGTGAGACAGCGACTACAGTAATAAAAAAAATGCACTTACGGAATATTTTCAATCAAGCTCAGGCCATGCAAAAAAAAAAAAAGAAATGAAAAATTCCGCACTGCCATCCTTACTGTTCTGCAGGAAGCTCCTCGTTCAAATAAAAACAAAGTACACCCATAATTGGTATCTTTAACGATGCATCTTTGTAACTGCACACGTTTTTCTGCATTGGCAATTTCTGCTTACAGCAGTCTAATTGTGACTTCTCTAAGGGGGATGTCATGGCTGGCGACTCTACGCAGATGTCTGCGAAACTTGCCAAGCGAGAATCTTACAAGGTGAGTGGTCTCTTTAAAGCCTCCATGTTTGTCTTCAGTATTGTCTCTTCTTATACTATCATGTAATATGCTCTCAGCATTACATGTTATATCTTTTTCACTGCTACGCAGTCACCTGCTAAAAATAGGAGATGTCCTATTATGTGCGTAAACTGTTTTAGTAACGTAAGCCACAAGGTTCACAACTGTCCACTTACTCTCAGTCCTAGTATGTCATTGCCTAGCAGACTCACTTTTCCTGTTTCTTTTTTTAATATTTTTTTTCAAGTGGCTGTAGCGCAGAGTTGTTATTGTGTAAACTTGGCAAGGTTTTCTGAAAACTTCAAAAATTCTAAATTTATTCTGCTGCCGTAAGCATTTAAGGATTCCAAACGTTCAAGAAACGCAGTAGGACTAAATTTTCTATGGTCGAAATTGATTGCCACCTGGAAATGTATAAAGAAGTGAAGATTTTCAAACAAATAACGAAGTAGTTTTTCTTTTGCATTCAGAGAATTTAAAGAATTTGATAAGTGTGGCAGGTACAGTAGAACACTGCCATAGCAATGTCCAATTCGACGTGTCAATTGCTTGTTTATATTCAATATTTACTGTAAGCATAGCTTTGTTACATGTCGACATTTCAGATTTCAAACTTCTGATTTTCATATATCGGTTATAGTAGACTCACAGTAAATGAAAATATCTTTTAATGGAACAACTGCTTCTAACATGATTGATTTCAAACTTGGATTGTTTTCCCCCCTGTTCATCGCTTTGTAAACAGAACTGCTTTTAAATGGAGCACATTTTCCTGGTCCTTTGATGCTCCGTTTAACAAGAGTCTACCGTAATTTGATATATATATGCATTCTTTCCGTTGAGGTCCCACTGTATGTTGTGGGGGAATACAAGTGTTGTTCAAATGAATAGGTACAAAACAACTGTGGGCATAGTTCGACAAACTCGCTCACGAGTCAAGTCACTTGCACTCACTCAGATCGAGCCATTAGTCTGAGTCTGAGCGAGTCCGCTTGAGTGATACGCTGGTGAGCTTGAGTCCGAGTGAGCTCGGAGGAAAAATATTTTGGGTGAGTCTGTGTCCGAGTGAGTTCATAGCGCAAGATATATTTCTCCAGTGAATTCCCTGTTATTTTGCTGGCTTGTGTTCATATCTACTTATCTTGAGCATTACTGTCAGCCTAACCTGGATTCAGGTCGAGTGAGCCCGACCTGTTCGTTAATGTGCATCTGAGTGAGTCCGACTCAGGAAAATTTTATTGCGAGTCCAGCTGAGCCCTAAGCGCAAAACATATTTCATGAGTAAGTCTCAGTGAGCTCCTCAAGCTTTTCCAACCTGCGGCTGTTGCTATAAATGAGAACGTTAGTCAGAGCATACACCATATGCCACAGCTCAATGAAATTATTAATGAACGAGTCGAATAATTACTTGTTCCCAGAATTCCTCTGGCCGTGACGAGACCCAGTCTTTCATAGTGTCATTGAATTCTTCGTCCAAGTTGAAGTGCAGCCCTTTCAGATGGCTTTCAGGGGACCAAACACATAAAAATCACAGGAGAACGGTGGCCCGTTTAACATTATCTGCTGTGTGAAATGGGATAACGCCCCACTGCTCCTCACTAGTTGAATTTGGCAATGTGAATGCCATCCTGTCCTCACATGCACTAATGTGCCAATTGGACAGCACTCTTTGTAAGAACATCTGCCCTCTCCTACTCATGGGGGTACTCCTGCACATTTTGATCCATGGCAGAGACTCCACTCGTGTCTCTGCCTAGATATCTTGCTACATTCTTCCGCAGCATCATTGGCATCTATGTTAAAGGTTGCGTTTTTATGATGCTTCGTACCTTTTCATTTGAACACCCCCAGGAAAAAAAAAAACATCTCCCAGAACAGGTCTAATCTGTCAATCTGTGCCAAATGTGATGCAGGCCCAGCGCAAGCACTATCGATTTGAGAAGAAGCGGGTGGCCATGGAGCTGTCCAGCACGCTCACGGACCCATCGATCATAGTGCTCGCTGACTGGCTCAAGGTGCGGGGAAGCCTCAAGGGCTGGACCAAGCTGTGGTGCGTGCTCAAGCCAGGATTGCTGCTCCTCTACAAGAGCCCCAAGATCGCCAAGGTCGGAATTAAGTGTACAAGACCCAACCAAGGGTGCACTAATAGGGATACTTCCTAGGAATTGAATGTGGACCTGCGTTTCTCTAGTCCGTACTTCCATGGCCCTGCTGCGATATTTTGAATTTCAACCAGGCATGCTTTGTCGTCTAGAATGTCGGTCGCAGTTTGTTGTAGCCATAGTCGAATCCAGTGATGCCTAACCATTATTTGGTTGTGCAGTTGTCATGTTTAGCAACGTTTCAAGTTTGTTTTCACTGCAATATGAAGGCTCCTTTCATTGAGTTCCAGTTATGTATGAAACTGCACAATTGCAACGGCATCCTTGCTCCTTAGCATCTGTTCTTTTTGCTTCATTAGAACACTGGTTGTCTGGTCCATATTTTCAGATGAACTGCCAACTTATTTCATCATTTTAACTCATGTTCGCTGTCTGGTAACCACTAACAGCCTACACTTCAGCTGTGCCACTCAGTGCATCTGTCGGTGTAGGCTTTAAACAAAAATCAGCCTAACTGTGTTTAGCACGTCTGTATGGTTGGGGCATCGGCCCTCTTAATAATCAACAGTGTCACATGCTCACTTTTGGTGATGATTGAGTTAACTTGCTGTGGGAAATCTTTTTGGGCAAATTTTTAAAAAGTTGTATGTGCTTGTGTTGGGCTAGTACAAATATCACTTTTTGGCTGAAAGAGATGTGGAAGGGATTAATTTTTCAGCAAAATTGGATAGTAACAGGGTGTAGGTTATAAGCGGTACAATACGTAACTTTTAAAAATTTGCCATACTTAGGCCATACAAGCCCTAACAGCGCGCACTTACCCCCGTTTTCACAAACGCTCCTCGACTCGACTTTCACCCTTCACTTGACAGAGTTGAGCACTGCACCGCCACTCAGCTGAAAATGGCACTGTGCTACTCTAGAATCTCAGCAGATTATCACTGATATGCAGTGACTTGTCGTGACTAGAGACGGCACTCCCATCGGCTTTCTCAAGTGAAGGTGGAGCCTTGAGTGAAGGGACGTTCTAGAATACGGGGGTTAAACCTCAAAACAAGGACATAGTGGAGGTACAGGCAATATGTCCAGTTAACCTTGAAGGCTTTGGGGCAGTGCAGATCCTTTCTTTGTAAGTGGTTTTTCTGCATAGGTGTAGCACTGTGCAGTGAAACAAACTTATACAGGTGGGTTACATACAGGAGAACTTCTATTTATTTATTTCGAATACTTCTAAGTCTCACAAATTTTAAATATCTGTCAAAGCAAATTTTAATGCCGTAATTTTCGTTCTAATAGTTGAAGTCCCCTAACATTCACACAAGCGTAGCCTGCATTCTTGTGTGATGAACTGATTAAATTATTTTTCTTGGCCACCATTCAGTGACAGGTAATCTTTTAGGCTTAACTGCTCCTGTGACCAGCATTTGCCTAAATAGGCATCAAAAGATGAGTCATATAAATTCTTTGTTACCCTGGAAACTTTATGTGTGGCACAACTGCTAGGTATTATGCCTATTGTTATCAGTAAGGAGGACTTCATTGTGAACACACCAGCTTTGACATTCAATCATTATATGCGTTACTCTGCATTGTTCCTTGCTCTTTCGGCTTCCAGAGTAGCCAATGGGTTGGCACTGTCCTGTTGAATGCTTGTGAGCTGATAGAGAGACCTTCCAAGAAGGATGGATTCTGCTTCAAGATCTTTCATCCACTTGAGCAATCCATCTGGGCATCACGGGTATGTCATTTGATTTGTATGTTAAGTTTCTCTTGAAGGCGTTTTGTGTAGCTTCATGCTTCTTATTTTTAGTTGTCACTCATTCTCTTCATTCCGTGAGAAATGGTTTATTCTTAGCCATATACCATATTTCTTTTTTTGTGGTAAACAGATGACAACTAGGGGGTCTGAAAATTATGCGGTGGAAAATTTTCCACGAAAAGTACAAAGCCAAAAAGAAAATGAATTGGTCGCAAAATTGGGATTCTCACGCCAGCAACTCACTACAAGTTTTGAGGAGTGCTAAAAAAGACTTACCTTAGCAATAGAACCACAGGTTCGACATAAGGCAAGATTTATTTGAGACACAAAAGCCGCGACAAAATACCGTATTTACTCGCGTAATCCTCGCACTTGCACAATTCTCGCACCCTCCACATCGCCCAACAAAAATACGATTTCTTTTTTTCCTCGAGTAATTATTGCACCCCCGAAAACTGCTGCAATAATGTCATCTGCTCTTTCCAGCCACTGATGATGATAGTGCACGTCATCTGGTGCCATCTCTTAAGCATCAAGCGTACTATTGCACAAAGGTTCAATGCAACTCAAGCCAAGCCGAAGTGGCCAGTGCGCGTTTCGGCGTGTTTTGTATGTTGCGTCGGTAACCTTCTCAAGTTATGAGGTGATACTGAAGCTGTACGGCTGCTTTAAAGTTGCAAGTGATAGATAATGCACTAAAGAATGGCAACAGGGCTGCCGGTAGGCCCTTTGGATTGATGGTAAACTTTATTTCTTAAGAAGGAAACTGCGGACAATTCTGTTAAATAGCCATCAGTCCGATACTGACGTCCCACGCTTACCTTTTGAGGGCTCCTGTTGAGTGACGAACACTACCGCTATGCCCGCAACGTCCGCAAGCTTTGCATATGGTATTCTAATTCTTGACTATTTGCTTCCACTTTTTGTGTCTCAATTAAATCTTGTCTTGTGTTGAACCTTTGCTTTTATTGTTGAGGTAAGTTTTAATTAGTACTTCTTAAAGCTTGCTGTTAGTTGTTGGTGTGAGAATCCCGATTTGCGGCCACTTCATTTTCTTTTTTGCTCTGTACGTTTTCGTAGAAAGTTTTCCACGCGTAATTCTCGCACCCCCCAACTTTTCATTGGTTTTCCGGCAAAAAAAGTTAGAAGATTATGCGAGTAAATACGGTAGTAGGAAAATACCATACACAAAGCTTGCAGGCACTGTCGGCGTATCGTTAGCATTTGTCACTCCATGGGAGCCTACGAAAAGCTAGCGTGCGATGTTAGCCTAGCGCTGATGGCCATCTAACATGGAATCACCTGCAGTTGCTTTCTGAGGAAATAAAGATTTATCATCTATCCCAGTCTTAGGCACACGAAAGGCCCAACGCATCTAGGTGGCTTTCAGCTGCTCGGGCTGCCGTTGCCAGTAGTGAACACAAAACTCATCGACTCCGAGATGCCTATCGGCAACCCTGTTGCCATTGTTTAGTGCATCATCAATCACTTCCAACTTGAAAACAACCGTATAACTTTCGTATCGCCTGCCCCATAGTGTTACCAGAGAACCAACACAACATACACTAACACACACACCCCAACGCGCACTTCCCACTTTGGCTTGGCTTGGATTAGATGGGGGCTCGTGCGTTGATAGCACGCATGTTGCTTAAGAGATGGTGCCAGACTTTTGTGTGCTAATATCATCAGTGATATGAAGGAGCAGACGACATTTCTGCTGCAATTTTCGGGAGTGCGATAATTACTCCCGGAAAAAAAAATTGTATTTTTGCTGGGCAATGTGAGGGGTGCGAAAATTTTATGAGTGCGAGGATTATGCAAGTAAATAGGGTATATGTCTTGCCCCAGTGAATGTTTAAATCATCTGCAGGCACTAATTTTGGGAAACTTTCAAAACAAGGTGTCATTAAATAGTATACAAAACTAATGGCATTAGGGTTCGCACTGTAAAGAATTTGAAGATTACAATGGTGAGGTTGCTCTAAAATTTCAATTATCAAAAGAGCTCTGTTATTTAGAGTATAGAATGCTTGATTGAGCTGTAGCTGTAAATGAATGAAAGTTTGCCCTTATCTTGAGTAGCCTTTCATTATGCAATGACACATATATTAAAGGACTTATTTATTTGACCTTCTTGGCGCTCTTGACACTTTTTCAGCATGGTCAGAAAACACTGCTGTCTAGGCTCCTGAGCTCATGTGAGCCCAACATTCTAGCACAGCACACAGCTTGGAATATACAATGAATTCTCGAAGTCGGTTAGAAATGGCTAGACATCTCTCAACAAATGATGCCATGAACCCAGATGACCGTGTCATAAACCCAACGTCTATGGCCATTGGCTGGTTTCAGCATTGCAGACTGCATTTTCGCCACAGCTGCATGAGACACCACCACTTGCCCACGTGTGGGCTCATGATCACACTGGAAGTTAGTTGCTCATTCTAAAGAAAAAAAAGTTTTCAAGGTCGTGATTCACGCTCATGAATGTACAGTCTGTTACACACTTAAGAGAAATATTGGAGCGCACGACACGAGGTCTGGCCAGCGCTGCAGTCGCATGTTGCCATTAGCCGATGACACGGTTCAACACTGCACCTCTGAAGCGTCCGCGCATGCTCAAGATGCTGCCAGCGCGTGATCGCAGTGCTGGCCGAATCATCATGTCATACGCTCCGAGATTTCCCATCAGTGTGAATTTGACTGTATGTAGGTTCTTGCCCCCTCGTTATTTCCTCTACCCCTACGTAGCTTTCATCGCGCTCACTGTAACGAAAGTAGAGAGAAAGCACTGAAGTATCCGACAAATTCCTTGAACTCCGTTAGTACTCGGTGTATTCTTAAAATTTTTGCGGCAGTCAATTCATGAATCAATGAGCTCCTCTCGTGAAGCCATTCAATAATTACTTGGAAAGTCGTGCAGGGCTGCTTTAAATGTACGGTAATCACCTTCCAAAGGTGCTGTAGCTCAAAATTCAGTAACTATAAGCATGGACCTTCTCACTTTTTGTTGATTTGAAGTGAGCGTATTTTATATTGCTTCGTAACCTCTGGGATGTGTCTGAAATATTGTTACACGACATCGGCAACGAAAGAGCACCATAGACGACGAAGACGATGAAAGCGACCGTGCTCGTGTTGTTGTTGCTGCTGGTCTTCCATCTTCGCTGCAGCTGCCTCTGACTCTCCCTGTATATTTTTGTAAATATATTTATTTCATTCATTCTCTCACCCCCGTAACATTTGGTGGAGGTGCGGGGTACAACACGATATAACGGAGCTCCGCAGTGGCCGACGCTTCGATTTTTCCACCATGGCAAACCAGGGACCGGCTCCCGCCGAGGCGACTACAACAACTGTTGTTTTTCCGCAGCTAAAAGATCCTGGCACGTTCTGTGGCACGGATGATGTCGACATCGAAGAATGGTTGCCGCTGTACGAACGTACAAGTAAGAATTACCGCTGGGATGAAACTCTTATGTTAGCCAATATTCTGTTCTACTTGAAAGGAACAGCAAAAGTGTGGTTCGAGAACCACGAAGATGAAATTGGAAGCTGGGATGCGTGCAAAGAAAAGATGCGCGCCCTTTTCGGCAAGTCTGTGGGTAGAAAGGCAGCGACCAAGAAGGAGTTGGCATCTCGTGCGCAAACGTCAACAGAGTCCTACGTGACTTACATTCAGCACGTGCTTGCCCTTTGCCGAAAAGCGGACAACGGTATGGAAGAAACCTGAAAAGTAGCTCACATACTGAAAGGCATTGCAGATGATGCATTCAACCTTCTCATATGCAAGGACTGCAACACGGTCGATGCCATCATCAAGGAGTGCCAGCGTTTTGAGGCCGCAAAAAGTCGACGTATCGCCCATAATTTCACTCGACTACCGAACGCAGCAGCAACGTGGTCGTGCGAAGACAGGCCTGCACTACAGATGCCGTTAACTGCAGAGCACGTGACCAAGATCATCAGACGTGAACTTGAAGCTCTGTCTCCTGCGTCCACGTGCTCGCATGCCTGTGACTCTAGCCCTCAGATGGTGCCACTGGTACATGCCATTGTGCGACAAGAGCTTTCCAATGCTGGACTGGCCTCCGAGTGCACTACAGCTCCCTCTCAGCCGATCAACCGTCGTCGACCCCATGTTTCGTATGCCCAAAGCCAAAACCTTCCGGCGCGCCCTCGCAATCCAGCCGAGTAGAGGACTGCTGACGATCGCCCGATTTGTTTCAACTGCCACCGTATCGGACACGTGGCCCGTCATTGTAACACTCGGTGGTATTGGCATCAGGCATCCTATGGGTACACCCATCGGCCAGAGAGGGATCATGGACGCTTTCAAACTTACCGGGAGTCACCTCAGGCCACCAGTGAAGACGTTCCTTCTATGCCGCCATATCGTCGTCGCTCTCCATCTCCGCATGCTCACCAGTCCCGTTCACCGCTCTCTCGTCGCCCATCGTCTCGCTCGCCCCAATTTCGCCGACTAACGTCGCCGACTGACCACCTGCCGCAGGAAAACTAGATGATGCAGCTCCCGGAGGTGATGCTGCATCGACCACTTGCCTGCCAAATCCTCTGACAATGCTGCCGACTCGACGCAACCTTATTGACGTTGAAGTAGATGACACACCCGTTGTTGCACTGGTGGACACAGGGACTCGCATATCAGTGATGAATTCAGAACTTCGTTGCCGCCTTAGGAAAGTTTTAACGCCACCCACAGTGCCACTCATCCAGGTCGCCGACGGCGGCACGTTTCCCGTGCTTGGAATGTGCTCCGCGCGTATAAGTGTAGCTGATCGCTCCACGACAGTGCTATTTGCTGTGCTCGAGAAATGTTCCCATGACTTTATCCTCGGCATGGACTTTTTATCCGCCCACTCTGCCCTTATTGATTGTGGAACCGGCATGCTTCAACTTCATTTACCGTGTTACCATGACGACCCAACACCAGCTCAACCCCGTCTGTGTTCTGCAGATCACGTTCGCCTAGCACCTCAAGCCGTTACTTGAGATCTGTCCCTCCTGTTCCTGATGGTGACTACATGTTGACACCCCATTGCTGACGTTCTTCTGGCCAAAAATGTTGCCGTGCCTCACACACTTTTGACAGTCACGGGAAATACAGCATCTCTTCCGATCCTAAACTTCAGCTGGTGCGCTCAAGTTATCCCAAATGGTATGACTCTGGCAAAAGTTTTTTCTATAGATGCTGCCATTTCGGTGTTCGTTGCCGAATCTTCTTCGTCCTTTGCTCCGTTTTCATCCTCGACGAGCGCAGCGGATGATACCATCGACAAGATGATCGCTCCGGACCTTCTTCCAGCACAGACAGCTAACATCCGGCACCTGCTGAAATCCTACCGCGACATCTTTGATTTTGATGACCGCCCTTTGCGTCAGACATCCTTTGTAACTCATAGGATTAACACTGGAGACGCCAGCCCCATCCGACGACGTCCTTATCGCGTGTCTAATGCTGAGCGACAAGTTATCCAGCACGAAGTTGAAGAAATGCTCACAAAAGACGTTATCGAACCTTCCTGCAGTCCATGGGCATCGCCGGTCGTGCTAGTCAAGAAGAAGGATGGCAGCTGGCGCTTCTGCGTAGACTACCGTCATACCAGCTGCAACAAGTTGTCATTGCTGTTGTCTGGTAACTCATTATATTTGTAAATTCCTTTGCAAATACCAAAGTGCCGTATGCACTAAGAACTTTTATTACAATTTTTCTGCTCTGGTGATTGAATGTTATGTAAGTTAAATATAGTTTAAATGTAGTTACCTATGTTGTTTAGTGGTTTGTGCATACATATACGTTTGATTGCATTAATTAACGTTTACATTGGGGAGCTAAAACTTAGCTAAGACAATATTCCCGAAACATGGTAAAAGCAATGTGGCATTCCAGTAAGATGGTAGTGTTAAAGAGTATACGGACATGCTTGAAGCAACTAATAAACAAAGGCACGGTTGTAAAGAGAGGAAACATTTCAGCAAGGTACAGTGAATGACTCCATTCTTCGCAAAACTGTAGGGCCCCCGGAACGAGGCCATAGGTGCCCTGGTACAACCACTACCCGTGAGCCACCTCATCTTCCGAGCACCCTCCGAGGCGGCGGGCAAGTGCTGGATGGACGCCCTGGAGCTGTCACTCCGATGCTCCTCGCTTCTGCTGCGTTCCATGACGTCGGGACACTTGCGAAGCAACAGCGGTGGTGGCACCGGGTTGGGCAATAGCCGGGACTCCACACTGTCTGTGGCGGGCATAGGTGCGAGTGAGGCCGAGCTCTCGCACATAGCCACCTCTCCTACCACTACCACGTCTCAGCAGCGGCACTGGAACGAGAGCGACCTCGAGAACCACTTCAAGGACCAAGGTGTGTTGGGCATTGCCAAGTGCCTGCGGTATTCAGCCAGGTATTCCGTGGCAGTTCTGCAATCCTTAGTATTCTTTAGCTGAAAATGTTGGCTGGAAAGAAAGCAGGGAACAGATTTATCAAACCAAAGCTGCTACAGCTGTCAGCAATAACGCAATGCAGATGTAGGCTTCAATGACTAGAGAGAGAAAAAAAAAATCTGAAATTCGTTGCCGGAGTGCTAATAGGCTGCAATAAATACAGTGACACGTTACTGTGATAAATGGTTAATGTGGCAATTGGTTGCTGCTTTGTTACAATCATTAGCCTCATCATTGTCATGCCATTTTATGTCCCAAAGTAGAAAAGAACGTACTGTCTAAATTCCATAAAACATGGCGCAGTTTTGCTTTGCTTGATAACATTATCAGAAGTACTCGCATCGCAAGTTATTATGAAACGGGAACATATCAATTAGGTTTCGTCGCATTACAACCAGTGGATTGCAACTCTGTCCTTTGTTGAAATGGTGACTTGGTTGGCGAGCGTAATCTTTGTATGGCATATGCAGATCTGGGTGATGATGCCCCAACGGATGACCAGCGAGATGGCACCCAGAGCTTGCGTTCAAGCGACACCGACTCGGAGGAGGAAGAGCACCAGCGACTGACGGAAGACAGCGGGGAAGCAGAGCAAGTTGAAGAGGAACCGGAGACACCATACCAGGAAGAGAGCAATGAGGAGCTTGGAGTGGTGAGGGTGCCTTGTTGATTAGGAGATGGTACTTGGAGCACAGTGGAGGGATGGTGGCAACAAGCCTTACCGTAAACTGTTTGATTATCTACGCATGTGTACTCATGCGTCAAACAATATTTCTCTGCTTCCTCATTTACTTAGTGCATCTGAATGACCACTCTTTTTATTTACACACTGAATAACTCATGTAATTTGTCCACCCCCTGAAGTATTGCCCTGGTTCTTGGTATAAAAAGCAACATTGACGGGTGTGTTTTGCATATTCTTTAAAGCACCGCAGCAAAGGCACCAGCAGGATTGGCGCTGGCACTCGCATGGTGCTCCCATTTTAAGCGTGCATTCGGTACAGTAGATACTCTGTAGCAAGTGCCCTAGCACTGACTGTGTGACCTTGGTAAGCAACACAGTACATAACTAATGAAAGATGATTGACTCTTTGTGGCAGCAGCTACTCCATTTTAATGAAGCAGCATCAACTTTAACTTGGTGGCAGATATCGTGTGCACATGTATTCGGGAAGGCAGAACCTGTCGTGGGCTCTGCCGTGTTAGTTTATCGGTGCTTATTATTTGTGAGTTTTTGTTACAGTCGGCAGATTTTTCAGTTAAAATGGCACGAATCCCATATTTTGCATACCATGGTTATGGATGTTGCTAAGGGCATCTTTGCGACATCTTAACATAGTTTTGGCCCCACTTTCTCGGAGCCCTAAAATAAGAGAAGAAATGCAAATAACGCGAGCAAGTACAGTAGTTATTTGTGCAAGATTTTTAGTGTGCGTTATTTAAATAATGGTTAGTTATCCAGGGTTGCTGATTTTCAGAATGACGTGTTCAAGAAAAAAGTTATATAACCCACAGATGGATTTATAGCTCACAGAGAAAGAATATTACGCATGCTATGCTTGTATTTCTGATGCCTTATAGCCTTGTGCTCTTCGTTTTCTCTACTGATTATGCTAAGACATATGTATGCACAATGTAAAAGTATAATTTTGATTTATAAAGTTGTTGGGTGTGTGCAGAAAGTCTGCAAATTCATTTTCTTTGATCAACGCGCAGGCGGGCGATGCAGGCCAGACCGAAGAGGTGGCAGAGGAGAACCGCAGCCTCATTTGGGCCCTGGTGAAGCAGGTGCGGCCGGGCATGGACCTGTCCAAAGTGGTGCTGCCCACCTTCATTCTTGAGCCGCGCTCTTTCCTCGACAAGCTCGCTGACTACTACTACCACGCCGACATCCTCTCCAGGTGACTGCTGTCCACATGCATGAATAAGTAAACAGTCATCGTCATCATCATCATCATCATCAGCCTGACTACGTCCACTGCAGGAAAAAGGCCTCTCCCATGTTCCGCCAGTTAACCCGGTCCTGTGCTTGCTGCTGCCAATTTATACCCGCAAACTTCTTAATATCATCTGCCCACCTAACCTTCTGTCTCCCCCTAACCCGCTTCCCTTCTCTGGGAATCCAATTAGTTACCCTTAATGACCAGCGGTTATCCTGTCTACGCGCTACATGCCCGGCCCATGTTGATTTCTTCTTCTTTATTTCAACTATGATATCCTTAACCCCCATTTGTTCCCTAATCCTCTCTGCTCTCTTCTTGTCTCTTAAGGTTACACTTACCATTTTTCTTTCCATTGCTCGCTGTGTCGTCCTCAATTTAAGCTGAACCCTCTTTGTAAGTCTCCAGGTTTCTGCTCCGTAGCTAAGTACCGGCAATATACAGCTGTTATATACTTTCCTCTTGAGGGATAGTGGCAATCTACCTGTCATAATTTGAGAGTGCTTGCCGAATGTGCTCCACCCCATTCTTATTCTTCTAGTTAATTCAATCTCGTGGTTCGGCTCTGCGGTTATTACCTGCCCTAAGTAGACATAGTCTTTTACAACTGCAAGTGCACTATTACCTATCTTGAAGCGCTGCTCCTTTTCGAAGTTGTTGTACATTACTTTCGTTTACTGCAGATTAATTTTAAGACCCACCTTTCTGCTCTCCTTGTCTAACTCCGTAATCATGAGTTGCAAATCGTCTCCTGAGTTACTCGGCAATGCAATGTCATCGGCGAAGCGCAGGTTACTAAGGTACTCTCCATTAACTCTTATCCCTAACTGTTCCCATTCTAGGCTTCTGAAAACCTCCTGTAAGCACACGGTAAATAGCTTTGGGGAGATTGTGTCCCCCTGCCTTATACCCTTCTTGATTGGTATTCTGTTGCTTTCTTTATGAAGCACTATGGTAGCAGTTGATCCCCTGTAGATTTCTTCCAGAATGTTTATATATACTTCATCTACACCCTGATTCCGCAGTGTCTGCATGACGGCTGATATTTCTACTGAATCAAATGCCTTCTCGTAATCTATGAAGGCTATGTATAGTGGTTGGTTATACTCTGAGCATTTCTCTATTACCCGATTGATAGTATGAATGTGGTCAATTGTTGAGTAGCCTGTTCGAAATCCTGCTTGTTCCTTTGGTTGATTGAATTCTAATGTTTTCTTTACTCTGTTAGCAATTACCTTTGTAAATAGCTTGTATGCTACAGAGAGCAAGCTGATCGGCCTGTAATTCTTCAAGTCCTTGTCATCTCCTTTCTTATGTATTAAGATGATGTTAGCGTTCTTCCAAGACTCTGGTACTCTTCCCGTCAGGAGACACCTCGTAAACAGGGTGGCTAGTTTTTCTAACACAATCTGTCCTCCATCTTTCAGCAGATCTGATGTTACCTAATCCTCACCAACAGGTTTGCCTCTTTGCATGCTCTCCAAAGCTTTCCTGACTTCTTCTATCATTACTGGTGGGGTGTCATCTGGCTTACTGCTAGTTCTTATAGTATTAAGGTCGTGGTTGTCTCGGCTACTGTACAGATCTCTGTAAAACTCCTCCGCTATTTTAACTATCCTATCCATATTGGTAGTTATTTTGCCCTCTTTGTCCCTTAGTGCATACATCCGACTTTTGCCTATCCCAAGTTTCCTCTTCACTGCTTTGACGCTTCCTCCGTTTTTCAGAGCGTGTTCAATTCTCTCCATGTTATACCTTCTTACATAGCATACGTTACGTCTCTTAATCAACTTCGAAAGCTCTGCCAGTTCTATTTTGTCTGTTGTACTTGACACTTTCATGATTTGACGCTTCTTAATTAGGTTCTTCGTTTCCTGGGAAAGCTTGCCAGTGTCCTGTCTAACTACCCTGCCTCCAACTTCCACTGCACACTCCTTAATGATACTCGTCAGATTATCATTCATTGTATCTACGCTAAGGTTGGTTTCCTCACTAAGAGCCGAGTACCTGTTCTGCAGCGACACTCTGAATTCCTGTACTTTCCCTCTCAGTTCTAGCTCATTGATTGGCTTCTTGCGTATCAGTTTCTGTTGTTCCTTCTTCAAGTCTAGGCGAATTCGTGACCGTACCATTCTATGGTCACTGCATCGTACCTTGCCAACCACTTCCACATCCTGCATGATGCTTGGGTGTGCACTCATTATAAAGTCTATTTCGTTCTTATTTTCGCCATTAGGGCTCCTCCATGTCCACTTGCGGTTTTCTCGTTTTCGGTAGAAGGTATTCAAAATCCGTAAATTATTGCGTTCTGCGAATTCTACTAGTAGCTCTCCTCTGGCGTTTCTAGTACCGATGCCATAATCTCCTACTGCCTGGTCTCCAGCCTGCTTCATCCCTACCTTTGCATTAAAGTCTCCCATCACTATAGTATACTGTGTTTTTACCTTACTCATTGCCGATTCCACGTCTTCATAGAAGCTTTCAATTGAAGCGTCATCATGGCTGGATGTAGGCGCGTAAGCCTGTACTACCTTCATCTTGTATCTTTTATTCAGTTTAATTACAATACCTACTACCCTTTTATTAATGCTATAGTATTCCTCTATATTGCCAGCTATGTTTCTGTGAATTAGGAACCCCACTCCCAGTTCTCTTCTGTCTGCCAAGCCCCGATAGCAAAGGACGTGCCCATTCTGTAGCACAGTATAGGCCTCATCTGTCCTCCTAATCTCACTGAGCCCTATTATATCCCATTTAACACCCTCTAGCTCCTCGAATAGTACAGCTAGACTTCCCACACTAGATAAGGTTCTAGCGTTAAACGTTGCCAAGTTCAGGCTCTAGTAGGGATCGGCAAATAGTAATTGGCAGGCTGAAAGCAAATGATGATTTAGTCGAATAGTTCGAATGAGGATTTTTGTCATAACCCAACTTTCATAATATTTTGAAGAATTAGAACATGGCTTGTGAAAATGTCACCTTTTATGGTTCAAAGAAAAGTGGAAGCAACTTTGAATAGTACCAGGATTTGAATAACAGTAGGGTGCAAGTTACAAGTGGTAAAGTATGCTACATTTATGAATTAGCTATACTTAGCTCATATAGGCCAGCAAACACTTTTAATTTTATGGAGGTCCAGATAATATTTATAGTATGTGTGTTTAAACTTATAGTGTGGTCTCGTGGCAGGGCGGATTTCCTCTGTATAGGTGGTTCGATGGCATAGCAAGCCGATGCTGCAGTGAAACAACCTTTTCAGGAGGGGAGGAAATTGGGGGGGGGGGGGGGGGTATAAGGGTGCACGGGCTTTCATTATCCGACACCTTCTCATCTCAGGCATGGGCCTTGGCGAGGCTCGGCCTGCTTTGTTTTTTATTGGCCAGGCGAGGCCAGGTGCTGAGCCCAAGTCAAGCCGAAAATAAAGGTGTTGTGCGGGAATCGCTTTCCACCACGTAGCACATTATCCGCAACTGTCTTGTGCCCTTTGCTTATGTTTCTCATGTTTCTCTTTGATATGTTGAGTAAAGTACCACATTATCAGAAATAAATGTTTTGTCTCTGTAGGCAACGTTCATAGTGTCGAGCCACACCGGGCTGGGCCTGAGAGAGAAGAGAGGGGGAGAGAAAAGACATTTATTTTGTCCGTAAGAAAAGGATGAGATGCGTATACATCCAACCCCTGACTAGACCCTTGTGGGGACAGGGTGGCCGAGCCTCTCCGCCCTCTAACGGGCCTTTTGAGCAGTCGGGAGCTGGACGTCTTAGCTGGGGTGGTTGATAGCAGTGGTCCACCAGGCTTCTCGACAGCAGTCCTGCAATGCAGGGCATCACCAGAGCATCTGTTTCAATGAGCTAACTTCTCCACAGTCTGGGCATGTTAGGTCCATGTACATCAGGCCACGTCAGGCAGGCTCAAATTGCTTTAGCCTGAGTTCCATGATGCTTTTCAACTGGTATGGAGATATTTGTGCTAAAGGCGCATATAACAAAGAAGCAGTTGGCAATTCAGGATTTTTAATAGGTCTGATCAGCAGTAAATGGGTGATAAAGTTGTGCACCTTACACCTGTGCTTTCTGTTCATTGGGTGCAGTTTAAACTGCATTGCATGCAGTTTAAAAATGCTTTAAAAATTTTAATGTGATAAATCAACGCCTAATCGTAATGTATGGTGCCACCTCACCCCGAGACATATATCTGAGAACTTTTGATAATTCAAACTTCTTTCCTTCATAATTCAAACAAAATTCAGAGGTCCCTTCAAATTTGAATTAAAGACAGTCGACATACGTTGCTTTTTGGTCTGACTATCTTTTGCGGCAAATTATTCTCTGGCTTTGCTGCGTGGGCAAAGGTTAAACTGGAAAGTTTATAGCACGTAGTGTCACTTGGGCATGCATGGGTGGTTCCTACTTCTTACGACGCAGGGCTTGCTGCTTGTAAAAGATTTAGCTTTCAGATATCAAGGCTTATTTTCCCCAGTAGTACGTGCTGCTGTTGCTGTAACGAATACGTCTCTTTGTGGAAAAATTATACCTTGTTCAACAGCTGTTGATAAATATTCAAAGCTGTGCATATATTTCCGTGGTAGGCCTTTGAGTCTTCAAGCAATGCAGCAGAGGAGCTGTAGTTGCATGGAGGACATGTTGCTTGAACGCGTTGTTCGTTGCGTGGCAGGGCTGTTCAAGAGGATGACCCCCTTACTCGGATGAAGTTGGTGGTGCAGTGGTACCTCTCTGGTTTCTACAAGAAGCCCAAGGGCCTCAAGAAGCCCTACAACCCTATTCTTGGAGAGGTGTTCCGCTGCTGTTGGAAGCACCCCGAACGGGAAGCCGGACCTTTTACATTGCAGAGCAGGTTGGGTTTTTCATTGATTGATTCCATTGATTGATTGTTTCGGTTGGAGTACGATCTTGACCCTATAGAGCTTCCCAAAATTAACTAGAGAGCACTCCTGGCGCTGCTATCGTTCAGCGACCATGGGAATGATGGGTAGTACACAGATTTGCCTAGTCATTCGTACTTGCGGGTGGCGAATTGCACTTGCGGCTTCATTTATTGCTGGTTTCGGTTTTGTTTCGAAGAAAAGAAAGAACCCTTTCGAACTTCGGGACCTGATTTGAAATGGTAAGCCTAAAAAAAAAAATAAGGTAGTAAAGCCCAACCACTGAACATTTGCTGAATTTTGTTTTTTGGGAAAACAGCTCCAAGTCACACAAACACAGACGGAGCCAAAAGTACGAATATTTAACAAATTCGTGTAATGCCCATCATTCCCACACTCGCTGAAACGCCATAGACACTAGTGCCAGAGTTCCCTCTAGTGTGTACTATTTAGGAAACTGCTATGCTCGAACCAACATTTAAGAAAATTTACCCTTGTGCCGTCCCCTCTCGAAGAGAGCAGCCAGGAGCCGTGTTTGCCTTTTAAGTGCCGCCAACGGAAGTAGAGGGGACGCTCAACTCCCAAATAGGGGCCACTTCCACATCTTGAAAACCCTTTTTCTTTTGTTATGGCCACTTTAAACGGGTGCCGCAAACGACCTTCAGAGCGTCATTGGTCATCTTCTCTGTCGGCTCAAGGAGAGAGTGAAAACACTGGTCGTCGACACAAGAAGAAATGCGAGGCGGCGGTCAGACTCGCCCTACCAGCCTGAGCAACAGCACCGCTTTTTTATGGGGACCTACTGAGTGCTGGTGAATGTTTTTTAAAATGTGACCCCAATTTCTGTTAATTAAAGTGACTTGTTTAAATGTTCACAAGTGTTTGACCGTTAACCGGATGAATAGCGGACACTTTGACCCGTCAAATGCGAGCTGCGAGACCAGCATAACCCTCGTGCTTTGATTTTGATGATTTTCATGTGATGAACATTTGCGAGAGGAGGCAGGTTAAAGACCTCTGTGCAGACGGCTTTCATTAACTCGACCATAAAGGATTTGCTGAAATTGGCCTAATTATAGGGCAGGTCTTATTAACAAGAGTCAGAAAAAACAATACCCACCACTTGATCATTTGAGAGTGTTTGCCCATATTGTAACATAATCAAGGCAGGTGCACTTGGGCATTGTATTGGCCCAATCTGAAATTAGCATAAAAATGATATTGGAGCTTTCAACTAGTTGGAATTTCGAACAGACACTTGATTTTTTTAGCATGAAAAACAGCATGTCCTCAGTTCTGGCAGAAAGAAAAAAACCAAAACCAACAAACGTTACCGTATTTACTCGCATAATCCTCGCACTTCTTTCGGCGGAATACCGATGCAAAGTTGGGGGGTGCGAGAATCACAAAAGGAAAACTTTCCACAAAAACATACTGAGCGAAAAAGAAAACGAAGTGGCCGCAAATCGGGATTCTCACACCAGCAACTAACAGCAAGCTTTGAAAAGTACTAATTAAAATTTACCTCAACAATAAAAGCAGAGGTTCAACACAAGGCAAGATTTATTTAAGACACAAAAAGTGGAAGCAAATACTCAAGAATTAGAATACCACACGCAAAGCATTGCTGTAGCGTTCGTCACTCAACCAGAGCCGTCAAAAGGTAAGCCTAGGATGTCAGTATTGAGCTGATGGCTATTTAACAGAATCGTCCGCAGTTTCCTTCTGAAGAAATAAAGTTTACCATCAGTCCCAATCTTAGGCACACAGCAGGCCCAACGCGTAGTGAACCTGCAGCGATCACAAAACTCGTCGATTCCAAGGGGCCTACCGGCGGCCCTGTTGCCGTTGTTTAGTGCATGAGCAATCACTTTCAACTTTAAAGCAGCCGTGTAGCTTCTGTATCGCCCCATAATGTGACAAGATTATCGACACAACATACAAAACACTCCGCAACGCACATTCGCCGCTTTGGCTTGTCTTGAATTGGATTGAATCTCCATGCAATAATAGTACGCTTGATGCTTAAGAGATGGCATCAGACGGCGCACGCTATCACTATCAATGGCTGGAACAAGCAGACGACGTTATTGCGGCAATTTTTGGGGGTGCAATAATTACTCAAGGGAAAAAAAAATCGTATTTTTGTTAGGCAATGTGGGGGATGCGAGAATTATGTGAGTGCGAGGATTATGCGAGTAAATACGGTATTTTCGCCGAAATAAACTTTAATTACTTGTCTATCGCCATCACACTTGGTGCTTTAATGCTTTGAAGAATAAATATTTCATCCTCTTTAGATTCAATAGAGCGTTTGACGTCCTGCGTTTATCAAACAACTGCTCCACGCTAAGACTCAAAGTTGCTCCGTGCAAGACTGTTACAAGCTGCCACTCTAGCGTCGCCAGCGCGAAGTCGGCGACGGGAATGACAGCAGGTTGGTTCGTTCCGTACGCAAGCAGAGGCAGTGAAGAGATCAGAGACGTGAGAAAACAAAACAAACTTTACTCTAGTGATATTGCAGCACACGGGATCTAGTACAACACTTCAATACAACTAACAAAATACATCAACACTTGCTACAACTAAAAAATACATATAAAAACAATAAATCAGCTTACGCAAGAGAACTATTACAAACTACACAAACTAACAACAATACAGCTTACGCAAGAGAACTATTACAAACTACACAAACTAACAACAATAGAACTCCGGAGGAGAAAGTTCGAAGATATAAACAGGTGAAGGCATACGTGTGATGACTGGCAGCGTTGCGTCCCCGACGATCGGATGCGAGAAGTCGAAGAGAGTTCTGGCACGACTGCGATGTCGGCGGTGTTGCAACGCTGGTGGCTCCGGGAGGCTAGTGCTTGCAGGTGACCTCGGGCAGGTTGAGCTAACTCGAGGCGAAGTCTCGATGTCTACGTTGCAGACGTTAATATCGCGTCACAACTAGACGAACGGCTAAGTTTAGGTGGCCAGCCGATACAGAGCCACACTAAAAACTTCTAGAAGAGATGCTTGTTGATCTGTTTCTACACCATGTTGGTCAGCGACTAGTCTGCCTAGCAGGGCAAAATCCTGCGCTTAAATCCCCCTCGTGTCTGCTCGCTCTCTTCCTTGGGGACAAGAGACCTCTACATGGGTCCAATCATGTGCGCTGCATTGATGGAAACTCCGCCCCAAAGTATATTGACCCCACCCCTTTTTAATTAGGAGAGGGCCCTCAACTAGCAAGAGTGACAACCTGTTGGGGTGTTGTCATCCGGCTTGGCCACCAGAGGTTTTCCCACGCTTTTCCTCGTGGGAACGGTCAGACCGTTTGGCTCTCATCCAGTGCGTCCCGTAGTCTAATCCTTGTTCGGGGTACATCGTGGCCTTCCACGACCTTGCAGACGCCGCTGCAGTTACAAAAGGATCAAACGTCGACGGTGACGTTCCAAGAAGAGCACCCCATTCTGCACTTCTCGGCTCCCTTTTATGCGCCCGCCGTTCCCACGGTCAGTGGGGAAGTACGGCGCCCGTTAATTGCCGTGACGCGGGGCCGCCAAAAATGGCCGTCCGTGACAAAGAATAACCACTTTACTACCCTATCCTGTAACATAGGGTACGACTTGTTGCTGCTGGCTGAGTAAAACCAACTTATTATTTGAAGTGCACTCATAACTAGGTTACCTAGTCTGACTATCGGTTCTTTTATTTGAAAAATACAGGTAGTCATTGTTACATGGCGCGAACTTGCCAGCAATTAGTCTGGCTAGGCTAGCCTGACAAGGTTGTTGTGAAAGTGGTTTTGGTTCTGTATCAGACTGCGTAATACAAGCAAATATAGTATGGAACTTATTTGGGAACAAAGAGAGAGGGGGGCGTGAAGAAAGTGTCACGTTAGGGTTAAAGGGTGTAATAATTCACTGCAAGCCACTATTTTCACATGAAGATTTTCCTCGTGCAGGCTGGAAATAGGCACTTCCGCAAGAGGGGACGTGTATTAGGCATTCACGGAAACCTAAACACCACAAACTTGAATGATGCTGTTGAAACCATTGCTGCAGTCACCATCATAGTTGGTGGCACATAGCATGACCAGCCATGTTCGACGTATCTTGTGAAAGCCAATTTCAGGATTGAAATACAGTTAAAGGTTGATCTATCAGGAGGAGTGCCAGCCGGGACATTTGGCTCAGATTGAATCAACTGCAAAGCTGAAATAACTAGAATCAAGCGAAACGAACTCCAGTGCATTTGTCTTTCATTTCATCTCTATTCTTTATCTACACATATGCTCTTAATTCACTGTGTGGGAGGTGGAATGGCACTGAATTCAAAATGTCTTTCTTAGAATAACATGTGCTCTAAGCTTACAACAGCATTTGTCTTCCATAGGTCTCTCATCACCCACCAATTTCTTCTTTCTATGTGAGCAATCGACCGGATGGTTTCTGCATCAGTGGAACAATTTTGGCAAAGTCAAAGTTCTATGGTGAGCCTTCCCTTTTCTGGCTTTGTCAGCTTTTCTACGTCTGTAAAAGATTGCATATCAGAGCCATATATCTTCTTAATTTTTATGTAAGAACAGATGGTGTTGTTGAGAAGGCTTGAGTAATTTTTTAAATATTATATTATTATAGTTACAATAACAAGCTATAAGTTGCGAGTTACCATAACGACCTGTGAGAAATTACCTAACTATAATGGGGAAATTCGTCTTTACCTTTTTTGGAAAGCTAATACAATGTACAGTTATGAGAAAAAGTACACAAACCACGAAAGCGCGAGACGAAATCGCCATCTTCGCTGTCTAGTTGTGAGACGTCTGCTGTCGAGGACATTACTCTGACGAAATTTGTCGAAAAAATGCTCTCGACGGCAGATGGATCGCCACTAGACAGCACACAAGGCAGAGGTATACGGACAGCAATGTTTGCATTACTTCAGCTCACGAATGTACCTAGTTAAAGGGTCCTGAAGTTGAGAAGCTTGTTTTAGGGAACGATATGTTATTTGTTATTACCTTTGCATATATTTTATAAAGGAGCAGTTTACTAGAAGCAGTTTTACCTTTCTCAATAACTTATACAGGAACTACAATTGATTGATTGGTTGAGGTTCCTTTGTGCAGGCAACTCGCTGTCGGCAATTCTGGAAGGCACGGCACAGCTGTCCTTTTTGACGAGGGGCGAAACGTACACAATCACCATGCCCTATGCTCACTGCAAGGGCATCCTCATGGGAACCCTTACCATGGAGCTTGGGGGCAAGGTGAACATCGTATCAGAGAAGACGGGCTACCGCACTGAACTCGAGTTTCAAACTCAAGGTGAGTTCAGGTGTTCAAGCGGCAAATAAATTTGTTGACCATTTTTACTGTTGTCAGAACTTTTTAGGTTAATGCGGCACGAAGCCCTCTCTTATTCGGTCCTGGGGGCCCACTTGTACATGTGCAAATACAGTCGAGCCCGCTTATAAGAAACCCGAGCGTGACGCGGCATTCGTTAGCTGTATTTGAAGTTCGTAGTAAATGAACAGAGCTTTTAAAAAAAGTTGCGAGTGAAACTTTTTTTGCCCCAAAAAGTCCGTGATGCACGTGTTTCGATGAACAGAAGCGATAAGGGCGGTCTCGAGTTCATTTAATACAGCAGGGTGCTCGTTCGCCGAGGCCATTGGCATAAGCTGCACGAGCACTGGCTCCAAAGTTTCGTCGTTCTCGCAATTCCATTCTTCCAAATCACTCTTGCCACGTGCCTCATTCACTATGCCCTAATCCGTGCACTGTTTTGCAGTGTCAGAATCATCATCGGCTGTAATTAAACCATCACAACAGATGTCCCACCCGCTCTTCCAGGTGGGAGTCGACGACGCGCTGCCACAAATCGCCGCCGCAGTGATCATGTTCGGGCTCGGCATCGGGCCCGACGTCGACGAAGGCAGCCTCGCAAAAACAGTTTTGCGCGCATGTAGCCATCACCGCCGCCCACGAAATATTCACCATCTCCTCAGCTGAATACCGGGACGCCCGAAGCGGCAAGTTGGCTGCCAGGTGGTCAACAGCTATGAGCAAGTGCTCCGCAACGCGGCACCTAACGCGCTAATTACGCTCAAGCCATGCGGTCACACTTTCGACGTTTTGTTGAGCGGCACGAAAAAGCGTGCTAGTCCTCCCATCGGCCACCATGGCCAGACACGCACACTTAGAGCGAGCAAGACGCGCACACGTGACACACATGCCAGAACGCGTGGAACAGCTCTGGGCCCGTTTCCAGTCAGAAAACGAAACTAATTCGAGCCAGCGTGGTGGGCGTCGCGGAGGGGTGGAGATGGACGAAGGGGTTGTGATTAAGAGAAGAGAGCAGACTTGCGAGAGAAGGGCAAGGAGTTGCGATAAAGAGAGGGGAGAATGCGGCGGGAGGGCGACCTTGAAAACCAAAACACACTGGAAAGAGGCGGGTTCAGTAACTGGCTTGAAAGGTCCGCGAAACTTGCACGTAGAAAAACTTTAAAGATTGCATGGCCGCCTGAATTGGTGCATGCGGCGGTGTTCGAAGAATTGGCCGTCGTGGTCAAAAATCGTTTTGTTGCCCCGGCGGGTTTGCGTGGCCTTATGAACCTTGATATTTCGCGATTCGTTCCGCACAAATTAACAGCCGTTTTCGCGCTTCTGCATGCGCGCGGAAGGCATGCTGAGCAGAGTGGGAAGTGAGCGAGAACAAGTCCTAAACACGAAACAAATCGCAAATTATCAGAGTCGGTGGGGTAGCGTACGCGCGTGCACTAGACGCAGGCTCTCGGATACAGTCGGTGGCCGACGATGTTGGAAAATGGTCTGGTCACTCCAGGCCGGCGACGTCGGCAGTACCAGCAATCAAAAACGGGGTATATGGCGGACTTGTCTTCGAAAGATCGGTGGCAGTGTGAAAACACGGGCCTCGTCTGTCGATGCGGCAGCTCAAAGTAGCAGGGGGACAAAGGACGGAGGGGTGCGTAACAAAAAGCGGTCCGGGAGAGCGGTAACTAGAGGGGCGCGGAAGCAGGGTCAGCGTTTAACAATAATAATGTATGGGCACCTCGCCGATGCCTGATCGGTGGTCGAAATCGGTTTCCCGGGAAGTCGGCAGACCGCTGACTCCGTTCGCTGTAACCGATCAGCGGCACCCCGAGACGTTCGTTGTAAGTGCGATTTTGTGCCATTGAACCAATGTATATTTTCATGGTCACGCGGATATTGTTCATTTTAAGCGAAAGTTCGTTTTAAGTGTGGCTGTTATATGTGGGCTCGACTGTATATTCTTAACAGCATGGATTCCAATTGAAGTGACTTTTGCGCTGTGGCTTGTGGGAATTGAGGCTGGCCCGCTGCCTTTGCGCGGGCTTTGCCGCCTCTTTTTTTCATGTCCCGACATGTCTGCCCTCCTTTGCCGTCAGCCGCGCTGGGAAGGGCGGAGTGACGTTTAACTCCCTCACCCGGTAGCGGATGTTGACTGTGGCGCCGCGTGGGGAGCCTCCCGAGAGGTTTTCGCGCGCTGCGTCGGGAGCGGTGAGTACAGTCCGGGACTTCAAACGGTGAGCCACGCATTCTTTTCCGTCCGTCGAGTCCCGTCGCTCGGGGCTCGTCGGACTTCGCTGACGGCGCCTCGCGCCCGATGCGAACGCTCACCTTTTGTTGCCCCGCTGCGTACTCACGGCCGAAGGGCAGTACGGTGTCCTAGTGCGTGGCCTAGCTACGCCGACCCGTCTCTCTTCGAAGCCAACGCGAGCGCCTTTGCCCTCGCTCGAGCAACCGGGCCTTTGCTCCGGTGTCTCCGTGGATCAGCTTTACCGCGGAGACGTGCTCGTGGCACCCCTGTGTAGTACTTTGTGCCCGTGGCGTGGATAAGCCTACTTGCTTTCCCGCCGCGCCTTTTTGCAACGGGCTGTACTGCGTTGGTGTTGCCACAATAAAGTGTTGCGACTTGAGCAGTATCGTGTTTCCCGCCACGGCGACGGTTGACGCGTGCCCTGCGGCTCGCTAAGACCGGACCCACGCTGGTGGCCGTACTCCTTCGGGATACGTGTACACCACAGGCTAAAGGTTCTAAACTTATTTTTCTTGCAACTTGGGCACTCTGCAAAGGGCATTTTTTAAATTAATGCATTCTAATCCTGTTTTTACTCACTATAATACACAGTTTATTTATTTACATAAAGAAATTGGCATTTCGTTTAGTACTTAACGAATTTATCACATGCCACATCCTCACATTGGCAATTCATATGAGCACCGAGAAACCATTGTGGCATACTTGTCATCATAATGCGCTCCTTGAAGTTTGTTCAGCGATAGTTGTTGGTCGATCAGGAGGTTTGCTGGGATAAGGTGGCCACAGCAAGCACAGGACCACATTAATTTGTGAAACATGGCAGGCACCTTTGTCTTGCAGCGGGTGTAGTCGTAAGGCTGCTGCTGATAACCATGAGGTTTGTGCAATGTCTGCATGGTGTTCCTTTCTCTTTCTTGTTTGCACTGCTGTGTACAGCCATTCCTAGGCGGGTCTGAGTTGTGCAACTTGGTGACGGGCAAGCTGAAACTCGGCAAGGAGACCCTGTTCCTCATACAGGGTCATTGGGATGGACAGATTTTCCTGCGAGACAAGAGGACACAGGTGAGACACAGTGTCATCTTCTCTACCTCCAAGGTCCACTCTACGAGACCCCCATTGTCCTTGTGCTAGGGGTTCCAAGTTTTAGATAAATTCATGAGATTTTGTTATTGATTTCTGAGGTAATCATAAATGGCATTTAGCTCATGAACTTAATATTTTCTCGTTTGCCCATTTCCAGTTTTCACTGACTTCTTTTCTATGCACTGCCAGTTTTATTTCATAGCCCGTCAGGCGTCGCCATGACATTCATTAGTACTTTCAGCTTCCCCCCACTTAGTGCTTCTGAAGTTTTGACTTCCTATCATAATCACGATTATTAGCATCACTATCATTATCAGAATTATTAGCAATGTAGCTAATGTGCCTTTTTTTTCTTTATTTGAACCTTGTGACCTATAGTTGTAAGAGTGACAGCATGTGAATGTTGTGAGGGTTGCATCACCCCTTGTAAAATTGTTTGAGCCTCACGACTCGCGAGCGCGCCTCGCGGTCAAGTCACATTTGGGTTTAACAGCCGTTAGGCGGGAGGTGGTGCTGTGTTTGTGCGTGTTAAGTTTAGTGGTGGTGCCGGCAGTGCCGCCACGCAGCTGTGGCAGAGAGGCTAGCTAGGCTGGTGCACGGAAATAAGCTGCGACTTTCTTTGGCGTTTGGTGGCGATCGTGGGTAGACCTCCCCTGCGGAGGATCTGCGGGTGATGGCAAACATGGCTCGTTTCTCGTGGATCCCTCGTGGTGAGTCGAACATAGGCGATGCCGCATTCGCGGCACCTTGTGTTCGTTTATGTTGTTTGTTTCAGTTTTGTATTGGCATATTGTATAAGGTTGTTTGGTGTATGACTAGTGATGTGTTTGATTCAGCTGGCGATAGCATTGTTTGTAGAAGCGAGTGAATTCATGTACATGTGTTTGGTTTGCCCGACCATATGGCTGCCTTCATGTGTTCTGAAAGCAGCATGGCTCTCTCGACTCCTCACGTGAGCTTGTTTGTCTGACTTGTTGGCTGTGTATGCTATCTCCAGGCCATGCTTTCTAGTCCCACTTTTTTCATGCTGTTTTTCAAGCATGAAAGGGCAGCAACATTTGAATAACATATTCCTTTGCTTTTATGTCGGTCTGATTGCAGGAAGAACAGGTCTTGTGGCACCCAACCCAGGAAGTGAGGTCGAAACGACTCAAAAGATCCACGGTGCCCTTGGAGTTGCAGCAGGAATATGAATCCGAAAGGTATGGCTAATGTCTGTGGTAACATTCGAAGTCTGTCTTTAATGACGAGTTTTTCCTGGTTAAGTTAGATTGAACAAAGATGCCGAAAACCATGCAGCGAAGAACAGAACAAGAAATTATGCACCTATCAATGAAGTGTTATGCACCTATCAATGATTATGCACCTATCAATGAAGGAACACAGAATGAATAAGTGCACCAGATATTCTTCTTCAAATGTCAAAGAAAAGATGGGGCTGCACAATTTATGTAAAGCTTAGAGTTGGCAACTGATTATATTCATGAAGTGAAGGACAAGGCAGTGAATATTCAGTCAGGAATGAGTTAGTAGCTTTTTTTTATGGCCTATGTCTTCTGCAGTGGCATCGCTGTGGCTGAGAGGTTAGAATGTGCAGCTGCTGATCTGAAAGACATGTGTTGGATCCTGGCTTTTAGGGGAGAAGGGGGAGGGGGGGGCAGGAAGCTTGGAGCTCGTTTACTGTGCAATGTTGGTGTGTGGTAATGAGGTAATAATGCTTTAGCAACAAAGAATTGACTGCTGCAAATGTTTTTAGAATTCGTAAAGTACGAGTGCAGTTACAGGAATTTGTCGCACATTTTAAGCCTTTTCTCTCTCCCTTTGTACCAATTAGTGGGGATTATAGTATGGGCGCGGGAAGCTGCATCCATTCGTCAGAGTACATCATAACCTCGAGAATTTCTTACTTTTTTTTAAAAGCCCGCCCTACTTTCAGCGGTATTGCGAGTGCACTGTACGAGCACATTATGGCATCGTGTGGTGGCCGTCGTAACTATGCAGCTCATGATGATGAAATAAGCCAGTAGCCATGGACATTAGGTTTAGGACACAATCATTTTGGATTGTGGCATGCCATAAATACCAGGCCAAGGGGTTGCATTATGTGCGACTTCCTGTGTTCTGGTGCATCCTCGACTACCTATCAGCAGTGTTTTCAGACCACATTCGTGAAGTGTTGCTGGGCCTCTTTAAAGAACCCTAAGAGCCCTCCACTATGGCATCTCTCATGGTCAACATTGGCTTGGGACATTAAACCCCATAATCCAGCTGACCATCTTCTGAGCCTGCTATCATTACATTGGCGTGGCTGCAAATGTACCGTGCCGCAGGTTGAGTCTGTGATTAAACTTCTGTGTGCACTGTGCAGGCTGTGGCAGCATGTGTCGGCAGCTATAGTGCGCGGGGACCAGGTGGCTGCCACCGAGGAGAAGACCATCTTGGAGGAGGCGCAGCGAAGGAGCGCAAAGGAGAGGCAGGCACGCATGGAACCTTGGATGCCTCGTTTCTTCATCCAGGACCTCCTCACGGGCGACTACATCTACAAGCATGCTGAGTAAGCCTACATTGGCAACACGACAAGTTTGAACGTTGAGCCCCTTCGATTTGTTGAACCAGACAGCCAAGGACTGCTGCTGCGCACATTCGCTAAATGCAGTGGCTTAGTGATCCTCCGAGTCTGGAAGGATAAATTGAAGAAGGCTGTTGAAACAGTGTATGCTCTTGAATGGAGTTGTGTGCTCAATAGGCTTGTGCGAATTCGCTTCGATTGGAATTTAAATTATTGAATATTTTGAAGTATTCGACATGAACAAAAAGGTGTATACTAAACTGCATGCAACCGCCTGTAAAGGTGGTTTCACTTTAGTATAGCGGCGATAAGCCGTGAAAGCATGTATTTAGGGGAAATTTGCTCTGCTGTGAAGCCCCACTTCAAATTTAAGGGGGCCCTGCAACACTTTTTGAGCATAGTTGGCAAACGCTGCCGATCGGTAGTCGAGGCTACCGAGAACGCGCAAACTAAATATTATAGAGCTGCTCGTGACCTGGAAGCCACAATAAATTCTAAAAGTCTGATAAAAATTGCTCTCTTCTCTCGGCAAGTGATGCCACAATGTCAGAAATTGTTCGTTGCAGCCATTGTACCAGCCATTGGCTGATTTCAGCATGGGGCGTTACTGGGGCCACTGCGAGTGGCCACGACATGTCCACTCGTACGTGCGCCATCGCACTGAAAAGCCGCATGTTCAAAGAAAAAAAAAAAGAGAGAGTGCTCGAGGTCACGACACACATGTGATGTATTTTCTTTCCCCATGCCATTTCCCCCGGCTTTGCTTCAAACGCTTTCGTCAGGACGAGAAGAGAGAGTGCAATTGCAGCATGTGTCAAATCTTCGCAACTGAACACATACTGGACAGATATTAAAAATTGTTGCGGCGGTTAATTCATAAGGTATTAAGCTTCTTTAGCGAATCCATTTCTTGGAAAACTGTTGCAGGGTCCCTTTAAATGAACATATTATCCTCAAATTGATTGATCATTTTCTAAGCTTAAAAGCTTGTTTTGCCGTCTTATACACTCTAGTTAAATTGCCGTGTTTTACGTTCTAGCTGTAATGAATAATGTTACACATTTTACAGGTTATCGCTTGCATCCTACTGTAAGTCAAATCCGGCTGCTTCTCAAAGTTGTTATTTTGACTTCCTATGAATGGAAAAAAATAAAGAAGGCATAGAGGCCTTGTTTAAAAAAAAACTATTGTGCAGGTTAGTTAGGTCAGGATAAGTACGCCCATTTTTCTTTATACATCGTATAGTCTATTTAAATTCGATCCGAAATTATTCGACCAAAATTACCATTCGCTTCGAACCTAAAATTCATTATTAGCACAAGCCTAGTGCTCAGAAATCTACTTGAGGTCTTGTTTGGGGTTTTGTCCAATGGCTTCTTTTCAACAACTGGCATCTCTTGAGCCACATGAGATGGCAGAGGTGACAAGAAGTGGTAATGACTTATAGTCTCCTGTATAATGCAGTGCAGGTAGAACTGTGCGTTTAGCTGAGTAAAGCGCGCTTATGCACTTATTTCGACAAAGCAGCAACATGCAGTGTTGGATCATTGTCATGTTCACCTTGGTTTGTCATAGAGGTGGTTGTAAGGTTGCCTGCCAGTGTAAGTTTGTCTTAGCTTGTGTCTGCATCCAGAGTAATCAGTTTAAAAATGGCACTCCAGAACAAGATGTCTAATTTACGATCTGGAGTACTTCTTTGTCAGCCTGTGTTATTCTGTGCTCACCAGCAGCTAAGTTTTTTCATGTGGCTTTTCCTTCTTTGCATGCCTTTGTGATTAACCGTTTAGAAGAGGGTACTACAGGGTAAATTGCATGTCCTTCGTCAAACTTAAGGGTGAAGCGACAGTGAAAGTATCGCTTAAATCAATCGTTCTTAAATGTGCCGATTTCTCACATTTTTCTGTTATTGACAGTTCTCGTCCATGGGACCCTCGCAACGATGTCGTTCAGTTTGAGCGGAACGGAGTGATTCAGAGCAAGACGCGACACCAGACGCCCATTGTGCCTTCGGGGGGCAGCCTGGTCAGCATCGAGGGGAGCCCTCCCGAGAGTCAGGTCGGCCTGCGCAGGCGCATCTTGCACTCGAGCCCACGGCAGGCAGCTGCTCACCTCTCCCACCGCCACCATCATCACCACCACCATCACCACCGGCAAGCAGCAGCAACAATCGGGCTTGGCCAACTCTGTGGGCACCAAGAAGGAGCGAAAGAAAAAAGTTGGCCCCTCTGTCGGAATTCATCACAGTGGTAGCTCCTCGGCCGAGCGAGGCGCCTGCCTCTCCTGCGATTCCACTGACAGCGAAGGTGAGTGCCTTCGCGCAGAGCCCGCTGGTGTTAAAATTTCTAAAACACTTGACTGTGCCATCTGTGGCATACATACTGTGAGATGCTACCTTTACACTTAAGTTCAGGGCAGGTTGAAAACTGCTGTTTTACCAATATTCAGTCGCATAATTATATGTATCCTCTACCTGTACTAGCAAATTGCCACTGCTGAGGTCAAATGATGCTGTCCACTGGTCCTGATACACACATAAGAACAGGCACCAATATTGTGCACCTGGGTGCTCATTTATCCGCTGTGCCAGGAAAAAAAAAAAAAACAAAAAAAAAACACACACACACACACCTGCTTCTCTTTTCAAGCTGCAACAGCTTTCACTGTCTCCATATGAAGTGAGTTCCCAATATTGCTCAGGAGCTGAAGCTAATTTCTATTTTTCGAAGAACGATGCCATTCTTTTTTTTTTTTTTTGACAACAGGTTTACAATATTTTAAAGGCTCCAGTGCAACATCGATGTTTTTACGAATCTCTTATATCGAGGTAAAATACTGGGGCACTAAAGCACTGGTGGCGTGAAGATCGACTCAGTAAAAGGTGGAGCTGGTTGCTTTTTCATCCTCCTTTCTCACCTTTGCGTCCCCTTTTCCTCCCCTTGCTATGCACGGCTCTGTTATGCTTTACCCTCTCCCATTCTCGCTCTTGAAATTAGCCTTCCCCTACCTCACTTTCCTTTCCCACCTCCTTGCTATGCTTTACTATACATGGTTAAGCTATGCTTCCTCGATCACCGGCTGGAAGGTTGTGGGATCGAATCCCGGTTGCAGTGGCCGCATGTTTTGATGGAGATGAAAATGCTCGAGGTCTGTGTGTACTACTTGGATTTCAGTGCTTGTAAAGAAGCCCAGGTGGTCGAAACTTTCGATGCCCTCCACTACGTTGTCCCTCATTATTGTACCATTGTTTCGGGATGTTAAACGCCAAGAGTTATATTGTATTATACCCACTCCCCTTCTTTTTTCTCTCCTCATTGCCTTCACTTCCCTTTCCCACTTCTTGCTGTACTATACCATACAAGGATATGCTATAGTTCACCTTCTCCTCCCTTCCCTTTGCGACCACCGGTACATTCGTGTTGTTCCCGTAAATGCTTTTGCTCGCCAGAGAGGCTTACCCAATTTCTCTTGTGCATATCTGGCGTACGATCTTGATGGGTCCAGCTAGTGTACTACTGTTGTCTACTTTGGTCGAGCATGCTGAATTATTTGAAAAAACAGTGTGCCGCGACGTCGTGGCGCTCTTGGCCACATCGACACACCAAACCTGCCAGCACATATTCACGTAAACAGAAAGAAAGTGAACGAAATGTACAGTGCCATCTTCTTGAACTTGAGTTTTAATGTGTTCAGATGCTTCAGAACGATGCCGGGAATGCATAGCAACTTTTCAGGTGTCAGGCAGCCGTCAGCATTAAACTAAATTCGACTAATGGTATTAAAGTTCATGCACGTTCTACAAGATGTGCATCCGAACATAGATCTTCGAGGGCAGCACTTGTTGCGGAGAAACGCATTTTGTTTTTCCCATTTGTGTCAAGAGTAGGCTAGGGAGAATATTCAAATGCTTTGAATATTCGAATGATTATCACAGTATTCAGATTTGCTTTGATACAAATTTAAGTTATTGAAGATATCAAAGTATTCGAAATCAACGAATAAATGTATATTAGTATACGTGAAACTTTGTAAAGGTAGTTTCACAGCAATGGAGGGGTGCTAAGCCGTGAAAACATTCATTAAAATGTATTTTATGAGATATATTAGTTCGCATGTAACTTTCTGCTAGGTTACACCTATCATTTTCCTTTCCATCACTCGCTGTGTCATCAATTTAAGCTGAACTCTCTTTGTAAGCCTCCAGGTTTCTGATCCGTAGGTAAGTGCCGGCAAGGTGCAGGTGTTATATTACCTTCCTTTTGAGAGACAGTCGCAATCTACCAGTCATGATTGGAGAATGCTTGCTGAATGTGCTCCACCCTATTCTTACACTTCTAGTTACTTCAGTCTCGTGGTTCAGCTCCGCAGTTACCTGTCATAAGTATACATATTCCTTTACAACTTCCAGTGTCTCTCCACCTATGCAAAGCGCTGTTTTCTGCCGAGACTGTTGTGCATTCCTTTAGTTTTGTGCATATTAATTTTCAGATCCACTTTTCTGCTTTCCATGTCCAGTTCAGCAATCATGAGTAGTAATTCGTTCCCTGAGTTATTCATCAAAGCAGTGTTGTCAGCGAATCGCAGGTTACTAAGGTCACTCTCTATTAACTCTCATCCCATTGGTGTAACCATAAGAAACAAGAAGAGAGCAGAGTGGGTCAGGTAAGAAACCAGGGTTAAGAATATCATATTTGAAATCAAGAAGAAGAAATGGACATGGGTCGAGCAAGTACCACGCAGGCAGGATAACCACTGGTCATTAAGGGTAACTGACTGGATTGCCTGAGAAGGTAAATGCACGAAGAAGAGACGGAAAGTTAGTTGGGCCGATGAAATTAAAAATTTTGCAGGTATAACGTGGCAGCAGAAAGCGCAAGACCGGGTTGATTGGCAGATCATGGAAAAGGCCTTTGCCCTCCACTGAGCGTAGTCAAGCTGATGAACTTTTTGTAAAGGTGGTTTCACTGCAGTAAAAGGTTGCTAAGCTGTGAAAACGTCTATTGAGAAGAAATCTGCATTGTCGCAAGGCCCCACTTCAGGGTTACATGAACATACTACCCTCACACCGATTCTTTCTTTAATAAGTTTAAAACCTTGTTATGCTGGCTTATACGTCAAAGTATCGTAAACTTTAAAACGTAACATTTTTACAGGTTATCATTTGCGTTCTACCAAAAGTCAAATGCTGCTGCTATTCAGTTTTTCCAGTTTCTTTGAACAACAACAAAAAAAAAGGCGTTTGCAAAGGGCTTGCTTCAATTTAAAAAATACATTGTGCAGGTTAGTTAGGTCATGACAAATATGCCCACTTTTTTTCTCACATGTGATATGTACAATTCAAATTCGATTCGAAATCATTCGATTAAAATCACTATTCGCTTTGAACCTAAATTCACTATTCGCGCAAGACCAGTTGAGAGTTGTGAAAGCTTCATGACATCAAAATGACGTTGCTGAAGAAAGACTGCAAACAGGGTGCACAGCTAGCCAAGCACCAGTTAATCAATCGGTGGAGGCCAACGCAGACAGTCCACTAGGTGGACCTGTTGAGAATCGCGCAAATTAGAGGGAAGTGGACTTGGCTTCAACCTCTCTTTAGTCAAACAAGGAAAACTTATTGATCAGGCACTACCGGCATTAATGTATGCAGGTGATATAGTGCTAATGGCTGACAACAAGGAAGATTTGCAGAGATTGATGGACATCTGCGGTAATGAGGGAGATAGGTTAGATTTTATATTCAGTAATAAAAAATCGGCAGTCATAATTTTTAATGATAACGAAGGTAGTGAGCTTAGAATACAGGAAGTCACGCTAGAGATAACAGATAAATACAAATATCTGGGCGTATGGATAAGCAATGGGACCGAGTACCTAAGGGAACATGAAATATACGTGACGACTAAAGGTAACAGGAATGCAGCGGTAATGAAAAACAGGGCACTGTGGAATTACAATAGGTATGATGTTGTAAGAGGAATATGGAAAGGGGTCATGGTTCCTGGGGTGACGTTCGGCATTGCGGTCTTGTACATGAGTTCAGAAATCCAAGCAAGATTAGAAATTAAGCAACGTGGAATAGGTAGGCTTGCTTTAGGAGCTCACGGGAATACACCAAATCAGGGAGTACAAGGTGACATGGGATGGGCATCATTTGAGGGCAGGGAAGCTAGCAGCAAGATAAAATTCGAGAGGCGATTGAGAGAAAGGGGGGAGGAGTGTTGGGCTAGGAAGGTTTTCAGCTACTTGTACATGAAGAATGTCGATACAAAATGGAGGAAGCGAACCAGGAAATTGACTGGTAAATACTTCGAAAACAGCAGGTGGCCAAACCAAAAAGAACTATCGGTTAAGAAGAAAGTAAAGGAAACGGAGACTGACATGTGGAGAATTGGCATGATTAAGAAGTCCGCACTAGAGATCTATCAAACTTTTAAGAAGGAAATTGCCAAAGAAAGGATCTATGATAATACTCGGGGTAGTTCTCTACTGTTTGAGGCCAGGACGGGAGTATTGCGAACAAAGACATATCGGGCCAAATACGAAGGGGTAGACACAGTATGCAGTGCGCGTGGAGAGGAAGAAGAAACTGCCGAACACTTGATAATGTTCTGTAAAGGGCTTCACCCTATAGTTCAGGATGATGGCGCAGAGTTTTTCAAAGCACTGGGGTTTAGGGACAGGGAGGGCAAAATAGACTTTAAGCGGGTAGACTTAACTAGAAGGAGGTTATCTGATTGGTGGCTAAAGTCAAGGCACGAGTGAAAATTTAACCCTTCACTGCAAAGTACCCGTTCAACTTTACTATTTAAGGGAATAAAAAAGATAAATCTAGTGGTTAGTTCACTAAGCATTACGGCTAGGTGGCGTTAGCCGCCGCCTGATCTAAAGGGTACAGCCACATACATCCATCCATCCATTCATACCCGTGCCCAAGTTTTCTGTACGATTCACGCGGACATATGAAAAGCTTCACAGCTCTGGTGTGAAATTCGGGCAGCAAGGAGTTAAAGAGAGGTACTGAAAGAAGTCTTCTGTGCGTGATTATGAGTGGACTCACAAGTTTTTCATTTTGTCATCTCTTTTCATGCATGGCCAGCACTGGCAGCCGAGGCAAGTAAGGGGGTAGCAGCACGACTGGGCCTGCAGCCAAGCCGTTCAGTGCTGTCGAGCAGCTCGCTGTCTCACTCCCTGGGCCCTGCCTTGGCTCCTCTGCAACGCTCCCTGGAGGAAGCAAACACCACCCTGAACACATTGCAGCGACACCTCGAACACGTGGTGCTGCAACAACGGCAGCTCGAACACCGGCTCAGCCAGCGAAGTGATATTACCACCGTTGCTTTCATGCTCGTGTTTGCCCAGGTTGCAATACACCTTTGCCTCTGGGCTTGGTTCCCCTCCTGATTACGCTCCGTTGGCTCTGTTGTCCCGCCTGCAAGGACAGGAATACTCTTTCAGGCCGTCGGATCGTGATGGCCGGCATAGCACGCCTCGCAAGCCATGTGCGATATCTGTATTGGTACTGCAACGGTATCTGTACCCTGTGATCATCACTGTAGCGCGGCCCCATGTACGATGTCAGTGCCGGTGTTGATGGTACTACAGTGTTACCAATACCTGTAGTTGGTATTAGAGTACCCTGTACACAGTGCTGCAGTCACCAGTGTAGCTGTCCCACATATGCATGATGTCAGTATAAGTGGCATTGGTACTGTGATGGCTTGGGTGTGGTGTCTGCATTTTGATGGTTACTTTGAGAGCTTGTGGCCCATTGTGCGTGTGACAGTGCTAAGCTAAAGAGGGTGACGAGGATGAGATTCTACACCCTTCACTGCATTGCGGATTCATTGAGTGTGCCAGCACAGCTTAACGTTGGCTCCGGTTTCATTGATACTGGCTGGGAATTCTTGAAAGAGGACTGTGTGCTTGCAAAATCAATCTCTGCCTGTTAGACTGATGAAAGCTTAGGTGGCAGTGGGAGTGGGACGGGTTCATTATACACTTTGTTCATTCTGTACATAGGAATAAGGTACTGCTTGTGAAAGTGTGACGTAAGTGCAAGTGTCAAGTGACTGTAGACGTCGTGTGTAGATGCAGCATGAACTTGACTATGATGCTGTGCTTCTCCACACTGCCAGGAAAGGCAAGTTTGGGGCAGAAGATGAGGGGTATGGAAAAGAAGGATTAAAACTGTATGGTACACGTGTGTCAAAGTTTCCAGAAGCAGAAACTGCCCTTGCATGTTTGAAGCTCTGTGCCGTCTATTACTGAAAGCTGCTGCTGGGAGAGTTCCGTCATCAGGCATTTGTGTTCTGACTGCTTCTAAAACACTGATGACCACTTTAGTTTGAGCATAAGTGTGTAAGAGAAGGCACAGGCATCTGTATTTCAGAGACATCGTGTTGCGCGGCAGCATTGGCTCAGCTTTTTTTCGATAGCTGAAGAAGGAAGTATAGTTTGCCGGCCATCTTTCTGCCTTGTGCTGATACAGATACATAGGTATGGACACTTCAAGCACATGTCTGAGGCACCACTATGTGGTGCACACCTGTAGCGAGAAATTCCCCCCCCTCTTTCTCTCTCGCGAATGAGAATATTTTTGCAGTTTGAAAATTGTGATAGGGTTCATAAGTGAACTCTTAAGTGGAAATGAAGAAGGGGAGAAGAAATGGGGGGGGGGAGATCATCATTACAGTGCTTGTAACTTAACTACAATGTGAAAACAAAAATGTCACTAGTAACACTGGCAACTACAAATTGTCATTTGTCACTTAAACATGTTGCAGCATGTCAGTGCATGGCTTGATGCAGTGCCATGTCCTCTCTCTATTAAGAGTGAGGGAGCACAGCTACATGAAGCTGTGTGCCCTCTCTCATCATAGGGAGAGAGTGTGGCACTGCAGCAAGATGCCACGTGCTGACACGCTGCAATCTGTACGTGTAGTCAGGCCTTTAGTTTCTTTTGCTCATGCTAAAGGGAGTGTCTTGAAAGCATTTCGTTGGGCTCATTCTCAACTTGGGTGCAACTGCACAGATTGGAATTTAATTAATCTTGCCAACAAAGCAGTTAAGATATTTTGCCCTTGAAGTGAAAGCAGCACTGATGATATCACTGTAGGTGCTCAGTGAACACGGTTAGATGCAAAAATTGATTATACTATATATATATATAATTTTTTGGAAGGGATGGTGGGAGTAGATGTTATTGAGGTACAGTCTGTTGCACAGCTAGGAAACATCTCTGACTGCACGGCACACGCTGCTGTTGCTTGCAGCCATATCAGATGGCACATTTTAACACTATGCCCCTTGAGTGTCTGCGCATGTGCGAGCTGCTAAGGGCGCACGACTGCAGCGCTGGCAACACTGTGATTTCATGTACTCGGAGATTTCTCCTAAGTGTGAAACAGAGTGTACATTGCGCCGCCCGTGAGGACTTTGGTCATGCGGCAGCAGTACAGGTGGTCCTGAAGTTTTTCTCTGAACATGGTCAACACCTTGACTTAAAAAAATTGCGCTCCATGCTTGCTAACATGCTTTATTGTTGTTGTACTCCTAAGTAAGCCTACTTTTTTGTGGTGCCATAACTTCTTTAGGTGGTTGTATGCATGGCTATCTCTGCATAACATCACCCTGTCATCTGGAGTTTATTGGTTTTGCAGAATTTTGAAAGATTGTTTCATTTCTGTTGGTTTGTCACACTTTTTAGTTCAAACAAAATGAATTCTCTATTGTTCAACTACGTGTATTTCATGAAGTTTCACCTGCAAAAATAGGTCAAGTTCACAGCAATGGGCTTCCTGAACAAAGAAATGCCGCAAAATAATTTTGCTTAAAATCTGTACTAGTTAGTGCGGGCACTATTAATACACAATAAACTTCACACTGCCAGTAATGCCTCTGTGCAAAACACGTAGAGGGAAAGTGCCCCGTTGCCATAAGGCTAAGTCGATTACGGGCTGTTTTCTTGAAGGGACACTTAAAGGCAAACACATGATAATAATTGTTAGGGCTAGACATCCTAGAACCACGATTTGATTATTAGAGATGCCATAGGGGAGGGCTTCTGAAATTTTGACCATCTGGTGTTCTTTAACGGGAACCTAAATTTAAGCACACGGCCCGCTAGCAATGTGGCCAGGATTTGATCTCCCGATCTTTAGGTCAGCGGTCAAGCATCATAACCACCAGACTGCTGTGGCAAGCAAAGGCAAATTGTTGTATTTACTTTTAGAATGTTGTATTTACGTGTAATTCATGAGCTGTGAACAACTTTTGGTGAGTGAAACAGTTATAGGTAATAAACTAACGAGTGGTCCCATAGTTTGTGACTGGAAGGTGGAGAACAGGCATGCTGCTTCCTAGAAGAGATCGTAAGTGCGGTGGTCTTGTTGCTCAGGCTGCGTGCGTACAAAGTAGCAGTTCATGCGATGCGGCTCCCAGTGCTGTGTGCTGCCAATATTAGCAAAGTATACCGTTCAGGATCTGAATAGTTTGGAATAGCAAATGTTGAGTGTGCAAGAAGTGGACTTGGGAGTACATGAGATTGCTGAATGGCGGTACCCAGGGGCGTAGCGAGGGGGTGGCAAACTGGGTCCGTTCCCCATCACGAAATTTTTTTTTTCATCATAGCATAAGAGATTGAAAAACGACCATTTCAAGGGGTTGCCTCTCCCAAAATCAAGGCGATGCCCCCCCACCAGAAAAAGATGTCGGGCTACGCCCCTGGTGGTACCTGTATATAACATGAAGAATGTCACCTTGACGTATACAGCATGCACAATGTCACCGTTGACATTGCACGACTTCACATTGTACGCAGTATATACAGTGTCAGCTATAACTATGTTCTTCACTGTTGTATATGACTATACTGTACTTGCTAAATCAACTGCAAGCCACTCTTTGTTCGGGGACGCCACGACGAGAGAAGGAGACTACAGCAAGAAATTATAAATTGAGCACGAGTGCTCTGAAGAAATTGTAGGGTTTGTGTGTCTGCTTATCATCTCTGAGCATAGAACAGGACTCTCTACCATTTTGAGGAATCGCGCATGTTTAATTGGATCATTCCCAGTTCGTGGTCTTTGTGTTTCGAATGCAAGTGTTTGTGCACAAAATGTTGTGCATGCTTTTTATTGCGTGCCTTCACTTATTGCTCTGATGTGTTGCCATGGAAAGCTTATTGTGCCACTTTTAGTTTTGTTCCACTCAGGAAAGTTTTGTTGTGATGCTGCTATATAATGAAAAAAAAAGTAATGGTTTGTAGGGCTTTTTTTTCTTGGTCTCTTCCTAAAAAACTTCCAAGTAAATTAAAGATAGAAATGTAGTCAAAAAGCACTTGATCCAAGAAGTTGAGCAAGTACCTATTTACTGCAGCTTCTAAAACTAGAGAGAGAGAGAAGTTTATTTGCAGAAAGGTCAGCCTGATTGACAGCATGCTCTAGCCCGCTACTGGTAAAGACACCGTGATGAATATACACAAGGCGCAGACCGTGATCTCTGAAACAGTACGCTGTTAAGTATGATTGGTAAAATGTGAGACCAGTATTCCAATGAAATGAACAGGGGGGTCAGTTCCTAGAATGTCATCTCCAAGGGCCTGTGTGGCAAAGCTATTTGCACAGAAGTTTGCAGTTCCTGTACCCGTTTCGCCTGCTTGTGAGCTCTAACATAGGGCTTTGATACAATGCCTGGAAAAATGTATGCTAGCACACTCAGTTGGATTGGCACCATTAGCAATGCGCCCAACCAGCTGTCACTCGCACTAGCCATAGCTGAAATCTTGCAAAGGCTGCTGTTGTGCTATGTTCGTATTATTTAAAATGTTCAACTGTTTTCTTGATTCTGATAGAATATGTATTGGTTTCACCCTGAAACTATAATATTACACCTTATCAATTGTTTGCTCCATTCAAAGATGTTTCAGTTCAAGGGGAGGCGGTAGGGTCATTTCATTTTGATATTCTGTTTGCGATGCAGGTGTAAAATGCTAATTTTGCGAATCATACTCAAATTGTACCATACACATCTGACCTATAGTGTCTACATTTACAAACTTATTGCACCATTCGCTGCCCTTGTGTCTGAAGCAAGATATCCTTAAACGTTGTTACAGCACAAGCAGACGGGCACATTTTCAAAGCAAAAAGCACGCACCTTTTTATAGAGCAGATGTCGTTTATTAACTCTCAGCGAGCATGATCGTGCTGGAAAAGATTGCCATATAAGGATTGCCATGGTAAGGCTACAGTTGTAACATGCTGGCTGGCTGTGTGCATTTTAAACATTAAACCTCAAGTAGAACATTGTTTAACTTGGTCTGTGTTTGTTGCAGATGAATGATACATACTCAGTAAGACGACTTTTGCTAAGCTGCGAGTTTGGTAATTGAAAACAGCTGTAATTACTATTAACCTTTCTTGGCACTGTCTGCGTAGTATGTGAAAAGGTAAATTTTGGATATGTTGTAAAGTGTTGCTGTAGTTGAGGTAGTACAGGCTAAAGTAGGTCAAGGAAGGGTATATGCAACTATACAAAGCCATCAAATGAGACCAAATAAAGTACAGCGATGTTTTAGCCTTTAATTGGAAGTGAATTACACATTTATGAAATGTGAAGGTGGCAGGTGTCATCCCCAGTTGCAGTGAGCTCATTCATTTTTATATTTCAATGTAGTCAACTAAAAACTAAAGGTACAGTACAGTTTGCCCAAATAAATGTCTATTGGAACAACTGCCTGTAATGTGATTGGTATCGTATTCGAAATCTGCACTCCTGTTCATGTCTCAGAAACTGGCATTCTTGTTATATAGAACATATTTTCTTCCTGGTTCCTTCAGGTTCCATTTCACGAGAGAGTGCTGTAGCACCATGTATGCTTTCCTTGCCCTCGTTATCTTTTACCTACACATGGTTGCATCTAACAAAATACACTCAAACCTCATTATAACAAACTTGCATCTTACATGAAAATAAGCTCGTTATATCCAAACATTTATTATAAAGGTTATTATTAACACTGTATATTGAAACATTATTTTTCAATTATCTCGTTATAACCAATATTGCATTATATCTGGTATTGTTATAACGAGGTATGAGTGTACTGACTTCTCGGTCCATTCCCAGTATTTCACTCGAAGTATCGCAGTTTCACGTGTGGCTGGGCGGTAATTCGTGAAAAAGCTTAACTGGGGTCATCTTGCTAGTTAGTGTCAACTCCGAGTAGTTTTGTTATTTTCTCTATCGCATAGTGCTCTTCAAAAGCTGTTATGCCTATACCATACTTTTGTCCCGAGTGGCAGTACAAATATTTACAATGCACTGCATATCACGGAAGTCTGAGGGAGGCGTGTTTACGGCAATCGAGCTTAGTCGCCTCTAGCTTCAGTGGGAGGGGGACAAAAAACAATAGTCTACTTTTAATGCGTTACAAAAAAAGCTCCAGCAAGCTGAGGTCATAAATCTCAAAGTATGATGTGTTATGTATGCAAACTTATTTAATGCAGTGAATATATTAGTCAAAATCTTGAAATCCAGACATACCATGTGTAATTGGGAGTGGCTATTATGTTGCATGGTATATGTGTGAATAAATTTTAAACTAGCCCTTTATATAAAGGATTTCATACGGGATACATTTTGTTAAAACTTGCATGCTTTTATGTTATCGCAGTTGCTTTAGTTGTTAAATAGCTCGTGAGAGGGGTCTTTCGTTGGCATCGAAGCTCGGGCTTTGTTTTGTACAGTGAGCCTGTAAGCTCTTGTTCTTTTTTTTATGGTTGATTGAGCACTTTAATGCTCGTATCTCAATTGGGACAGAAATTTTCTTAAGTGGTCCTAGTAATCGTTTTGTAACTGTCAAACTTGTCAAATTAGGAGATGTGCGATACAAACTTTATTTTTTTCTATTTTTTGAGTAGTATATACACGATTGTTAGAGAAGTGTTTTTATGGTTTGAATTGCTGCTGGCTTTTGTTTGATTCTGTTTGTAGGCCTGCTATGAGGATGGAATACAAAATGCATAGCCACAAGCCACAAGTGTCGCCAATAGCTGTGCTCTTTTGTACTTGAAATGCATTGACAGCTACCTTTCCTTAAATGGGATTGTGCATTCTGAGACTGTAAGCCTTGAGAATGGACGTGAACTTTCACGTTCTTCTTAAATGCTGCCGTTTTTTACTCTAAAATACTCTTCTCTGGCTAAACATATTTCTTATATGCTCTCGGCTTTAACACGGCTAACCAATCTTAGCTCAATGGCTGTGCTAACTTACTGAGTAGTGCATTGCCAAATGTATTAGAACTTCACTTTTGTTCAAGTTAATTTTGCATCTTATGTTTCAGGTGAGAAGCCTCGATAAACTTTTTGTGCCTCAAAGTTAACATTGCAGGTAGAACATAGCTAGAAATGCGAGGGGATAAATATATCGAGTGTACTTTGCAGATGACAGAACAGCGTGTGTGTGGTTTTGATCATAAATTCTTAGATGGGCTGAGGGCCCAATGTGTGCATCTTTTGTCTATGTTCACTGCACCCTGAAATGCTCCCAGAGCTTGTGGTTTTGTTTGAATGCATTTAGGCTTTTTTGTTGATGTGATATGGGGGCCGGTGGAGAATCTGCTCTCTCCATACTCAGCTTAGTTACAACTGGAAATTGTGGGGGAGCCTCACATCCTAGTCGTTCACAAAATGGAATTTGTGTTGTGCCTAGTGGATACATCGATGCATGTCGCTAAAAATATGCTTTCTGTTTTGAGCTTACTCTGCAGATTGTAAATATATCTTATGTCTGTACGTATGCTGTTATTTTGTATTTTGCTACTTAGATAAAATTTCGAAGCACGCTGGCAATGTTCACCTGGACAAGGAATAAGAATGGCCGTGGTACCGTACTCACTGATGCGTTCTTATTTGCGCATTGTTTGTAAAATATGTTGCACACTCAAGTATGTGTGTTGTCTCTTGTGCCATGATTTTGCAGTATTTGTGGTGCACCTTGCATCTGTTACCTGAATTGAGTTGCTGGCATTACTGGCAGTTGAGCATTTATTTTAATTTTTTTCTTCTTTTTTCACGCTGCTGGTCACACGACCGCAGCAGCATGTGTGTGTCGACGGTGAAGTCCCAACGAATTGTTGAGCTTGGGAGTTATTGAATTTTTACACGAGTGACACTGTCAGGCTGACGTGGGTCCGGCGACGTTCCCTCGTGGTGAAGCTGTGTTGTATCGTTGAACTTTTATAGAGCTGGTTACCGTAGCAATGTAAATAAAGGAAGAAAAAGTTACGAGCATTGCTTTCTGTCTCTTCGTTGCATTCTCCACCAATCCCCCAAAGTGGGTACGTGCCATGTATCTAGGAAAGCAAAGCAGAAGCGTTCTCTCTCGTTTGTATGGGTATCAATCGGACGAGCGCTAACGCTTGGACCGCAACCAGCAACTCGTCGCAGCAATTGGTGCACGGCCACAGGTAAGATACGATTAATGAAAAGCCGAGCACCAAAATGCGACTTCGCGAAGAGACCGATGCGTGAAAAAATACGTGTAGAGTTAATCGAGGCAGCAGCCGCGGCCGGCATGGTCGACCGACCTTTTAACTCCCTCCGCGATCGTCCGAGAAAAAACGTAGCGCGTGAAAACAATGAAATTGTGCACATGTTCATTCAGTGGCATGGTGCCAATTTAGGAATGCATTTAAATCGTTGCAACAATCTAAAACGCTGATATCGGTTCAACACTCGATAGGCGCTGCATAAACAGCGAGATCCGAACCAAAATTTTGAGTTTGAAAGTTCCCTAAGCCTACTGGGCACTGGCAGAGCGGTCCACAGTTAAAGTTGTATTTCTAGTTAACAAAATGTAGTTTGGTGCTTTTAAAGAGCGGCGTCGACGCTTTAAAGTCGTCTAGACTCCACGCGAGAATGCTAGCATCGCTTCGAAAGGACGGCAGCGGCCGGCGCGGCGATATGCACAGTGCTGCAGCGACGAGCTGCGCTGTGCGATTGTTGGTCCGAGCTTCGTGAGTCAATCGGCTACCCCGACGGTTTCATGTCGGCAAAATCCGAGCTACGAGTGCATCGGAACTTCAGAAGGCTACTCAACTAGCGTCGCTGTATCAAAGGTGCGTGCGTGGCTTGAAAAAAGCGTTAAACACGGTGTGTGAGCCGTGTCAATCGCAACGGAGCAAAGGTGTCCCGACTGCATCGCCTCTGCCCCTCCATCTTTCCGGGACGTTTTGTTTTCATAAAGACGAAACCAGTGCCGGCGGGATTAACTCTTATGCACTACTAAGTGATGTTGTGTCGTCTAGCGCGCCGTACAAATCGGACATTTGCGCCGATTCTCGCCAAAATCTTGGATGAGTGCAAACAGGGTTACGGGGGAGACACTTGTTTTTGTACGGAGAGAACCTTTGCATTAGCTTGTATTCTTATCGCATATCGTCGCTCGCGTAAATTACGTTCCATTACAGCCGTTGAATATAATCAATCACGCATATTCGTTGTGATATGCCTCTATCACGTCTCCAACATGGCTTGCGGTGCGTGCTCCTTCCAAAGCGGCGGATGCGAGGAGATGCATTGAATTGCACCCGAGCTTTCCCAGTACAGCGTACTGTCCGTGGAAATATTTTATAAATGTCGGCGGAGGTTGTCCAGAGGTGTTGAGGGTTCATTGCGATGGAATACGACCGCTGTCTCGCTCCTGTTGCTGCAGCCGATCGTTCGAAAGTAGCAACGCTCCATTTGGGGGAACCGCATTTATGCCAAGCCTGATCTGTGTTTCTCGCAACTTCGCGCGCCCCGTTTCTGAAGTCAGCGGAACGTTTTGGCCGTGAGGCACTCGTGAATGTCTCGTCTGTCTGTTGTCAGCGAGAAGGGAGGAATTGATTCGCGTGTTTGCGCATTTTCCAGCCCGTCGCAAACCATCATGGTCGTGGAGGGCCCGAGGAGCCGCTACGCCCCGTCGACGGGCATGACCTGCTCGCGAACTCTGCGAGAGCGACGACCAGGCTACGAGTCTCAGTACTCGATCCCTACCTGGGCTTCGCCACGCACAAGATGAACCTCAGGTACGTATCGCAATGAAAAGCGCAACTTCCGTTTCACCTTGGTACTGTGTGCGCGGTTCACTGGTACCCAGCTCAACGTTGCACTGAGACTACGATAGTTGCATTCGATGGGGCGCTTGCACGCACGAAATTATGAGAAGACTGGGGAGTGATTCTGTTTTTTAACTCGTTGTGTACATAGTGTACAAATACACCCACGAAAGCCAAGTACATATTTTTTTTCCTTTGAACGTTTCAGTGCTCATCACACGTTACTATTACCCGTGTTTGCTTAAATCATTCAGACATGAAAGCAGCGTTGTTAAATGTAGGATGACACCTCGGGTGTATCGCCACTATCTGCCTGTAAATCGCTTTCGGGGTTGTGGGACTCGAAAGAAGTTTTTCGTAAGTCTTAATCATGCAGTCCATTCAAACACTTGTTTATATATATGTTCTTTGCACTGCCTGTCTGATAGTGCCATTTAGAACTCATTGCACTAATACAGGATATTGCACTTTAACTTGATATTCCTTATCCAGATGATAGAGCTTTGTTTACAAAGCATACTGGAAAACAAACAGCACAAAGGACAAAGCATCAGAAAATAGGGGACACACAGCAGCTCAGATGCTTTGTATTTTGATATTTTCTAGTCTACCAACACGCCCAAGAATCTCATTTGGAAGGCGTTAATGGTGTTATATAGGCTGCAGTGACCAAGATGTTTAGTAAAGAAGGCAGTCCAGATTTCTTTGCTCACTTACAAATCAATGTGTATTTTGTATGAACAGTTCATCCCGGCTGCGGCGCCTGCATTTCCGATGGAGGCGGAAATGTTGTAGGCCCGTGTGCTCAGATTTGGGTGCACGTTAAAGAACCCCAGGTGGTCAAAATTTCCGGAGCCCTCCAATACGGCGTCTCTCATAATCATATGGTGGTTTTGGGACGTTTAACCCCACATATCAATCAATCAATCAATCAATCAATCAATCAATGAACAGTTCAAGTAGTTTCATCATGGTTTCAACACTCGTTGCTTCCACCGAGATCTTGCTTCACCAAATTAAGGCACGGAAGGAAAAAATAAAGCTGATAGATCAAACTCATCATGCTGTTATACCCGTGCCACACGGGGATGGGACATGACATTTGGTAGTGAAGGCATTCAGTTCCCGAATGACATTTTTTTTGGGGTGGAGTCGCTACACTTCCAAAATGAATGACATTTGACTTGGATGGTGTCAATCACACCATCTTCTGTAGTAAGCAATTGTGGAGTAGTAATAGAAAAATAAACTGGCGTATACAAGCTACATATGTCCTCGAGAAGAATTAAATGTAGAAATAAGCATATTACACTGCCCTCATATTTTGTTCGTTACTTTGTTTCACGACGTTGTAACCGATCGTGTAGCAACTTAAGCTAAAGCTAGTAAGATCACCAGCGTAAAAAGAAAATGGTGCCTGTCGCATTTATTTTACAGCATCTACCAGATTAAAAAAGTTTCTAAGCACTCGTTTGAGTGATTAGTATTAATAAAAGATGCGAGAAGTTTCCTTCCAGTCGAATCAAATGTCGTTTTATATAATTACTTCATCAGCTGTGCTGTCGAGAGTACACATTTTTTAGTCGAATGAGTTCTGGCGATGGCATTAAGTGACGAATGGTATTTGTACGAATGTCATTTCGTTCATCGGTGTGGCACCGCGCAAATGACATTCAACGTGAAGGCATTAGGAGGTAAATGCACTTTTCTCTGCCCGTGTGGCACGGGTATTACTATTGGTTGCAGCGCTCTAGAACATGATAAAAAAAAAATCGCAGCTTATCTATGGAGTGAATGATTGGTGGGGCGAGGCATTCGTCAGTCCGTCCGTGCTTTCGTCTGCCCACTCGTTCTTGCTTCCGCCCGTCCGTGCATCTGTTCGTGCAGTCACCCTCTGTCTGTTTGTCCGTCTGTGTGTCTGATCCTCTGTCTGTGTGTCCATCAGTCCGTCCGTCTATCTGTATGTCTGTCTATCTAGTGAACACTCCAAGTACTGCCATCTCGCATATTTTCATCATGTATTCATCATATACAAGTGCCGCCATCCAGCGGACATTCTAAAGACCGCTCTTTCGGGTATGTGCCACCAGTAACTACATACACCAACTGAGGATGGACAGATCCACACCCTGAGGAGCTTCATCCTTAAAAGAGAGAAAGGAAGTTTTGTGCCGAATACATGACTTGGTTGTTGTTGCATGAGTTGTGTTGCAGGAGCCTGGGCGTGTAAAGACAGACTTGCAAGGAGACACTTCTCTCTTCTGGAAAAGACGAACGTCCCAATTGTGCATAATTGTAAATAGAAAAGAAATCACAGGTGGTGCCACATACTGTTGGTGGCCAAACTGTAGCGACCTCTCATCTCTCCCTTTGATGATCAGACGGAAGATGGAGGAAGCCAAATGCATCACAAGCTTGATTGATCAGGGGGAACAACACATCGTCCACTGCACATTCGTGTCGCATGATCCTTGCAGTTCCTGACTGCAAGACACTGTTTAAAAGAGGCTGTTGTCTCCATTGGGTGCTCAGGCTGAAGCAACCGGGGCTGTTGCTCCTCTGGTGGTCGTGGTTCCATTCTGAAAGCAGGGTGTGCAGAAGGCACCAGGTGACGTCGGTTTAAGTGTAGAATGCCATCTTGCTCCATTTCAACCACGTAGCTTATCGGTGTTTGTGCTAGGCTCAGGGCTGTAGCTTTAATTTGGTCAGGGGGCACTCATACACACTGACCTATTGGGAATGGTGGGAGATCTCGAGACCCAGAATGTATCTTGTAGTCATCGGTCTGCTTTCACTTGCAGAAAACATATTTGCTGAGGATGTCTTTCCTTGATTTGCTAGTTGACGCAATGCTGAGAGTCTTGCTTGGGAACTTTGGTTCTTAGTTGTTGTCTCATAAACAGCTGGACGGGACTGAAGCTGTCGACTCCTGGGGTGTCCTGTTACCTGAGCAGGGCCAGGTGACGTTCTTTTGTCTTGCAGAATACGTCCTTGGTTCTCTGAATTATTCTCCCTGCTTCTGTGTTCTGTTTTGAACATTGAGTGGGTTGTTGCTCGCATGGTCGAAGCCATATCATGCTGAGAATTCCACGAACTACTGCAACTAGAATGGTGGGCCATGCCCACCATGCCTTCTTTACATTGTGTCCAGCTCATGGCGGATCCAGGTCGCGGGTTCGAATCCCGGCTGCGGCGGCTGCATTTCCGATGGAGGCGGAAATGTTGTAGGCCTGTGTGCTCAGATTTGGGTGCACGTTAAAGAACCCCAGGTGGTCGAAATTTCCGGAGCCCTCCACTACGGCGTCTCTCATAATCATATGGTGGTTTTGGGACGTTAAACCCCACATATCAATCAAATCTCATGGCGGATCACTTTGAGCAGTGGGATGGTAATCCTGCGGTGACGCTTATGGAACACATGGCATAAGGTAGCACTCGGATGATGTACTCATTCTTGAAAGTACCAAATCCTTAGAAGGGCCAGGTATCTAACGTTGCTTTCCGAGTCTGTAGTTGGTTGAGGAATCTCACTACTTATAGAGCTGGCTTGTAGCATTGGCAGTGCTGGAAGACGTGTTGTAAGAGATTAGATCACGTATTGGTGTTGAGATTTGTTTTCCTCTGTCACTGGAGTAGTGCCAAATACCAGCTTAACATGCACAGTGGCCATCCCCCCCAAGACTGGTAAGCAGAGTGTCAACAAACAATGCAGGGAAGTTGATTGGATCAACAGGCAGCTCTGCTCTGCAGTCAACTTTGAATTGTGCATTGCAGTTGTCTATAGACGGTTTCAAGATTGCAAGCGTTGTACCCCAAAAGACTTCCGCTCAACTCATTTACCAACTCCTAACGTCGAAACTGAAAGCAAATTTTAATCTTTTCAGGGGTAAGGAAAGTCTCTTTGTAGTCTTTCAGATATAAGGAACATGCACAAAGTTCAAGGAAATTTCTTATAGTTTTTATGTAGCTCGAAAGAACATTATTTGAATATATTTTGCCAAATATGGAAAGGAAACTGTAGAAAATCAGCAGGCTATTATCTAAAGTTCTTCTTACTGACCGATTGTACTACGGCACATCAGTGGCCGAACCGGATGTCATCGAGGACCCGTGTTTGTAAACAGTGAAAGGGTCCATAGTGACGGTGGCGAACATTGTCATGGCAGGCCACACGACAGCTTGCAGTTGAATATAGTCGAGCTTGTTCTGCTTAGACTTCACCGAGCGGCACACTTTGGCCAAGGGGCCTTTCTTTCTGCAGAAGTTGCAGTTGGAGTGTCATTCCAGACAGTAGGAGCATGGATGAGGCATGTGACTGCAGAATTTACATGGGGAGGCCTCATGTGAGTGCTTTGCTTTCAGCTGTGACTGAGGAGGCTTAGCGTCGCGACACCAACTAGAGGCAAACTTGGTCCTTACAAAGTCGATGTGTAGCTCGCATATGTGCACGGTGCAGTCGTATGACAGAGTTCTTTTCTTGACGGCGTATTAGATTCTTAGGCCTGTCTGTGTCCATGCCTCCTTGAATGTCAACTTTGCATTTCGGTACAGCTCGTCGGAGAGGTGAGAGCAACAAAGACCAGCAATGAACCAGTTGCGTACGAGCCATTGCTCCATGTCTACTGAGGGTAGTGAGGGTGCTTCACCATTCTGCACAGTTATGTGTAGTACATGTCGGCCTCTTTCGTTGGGCAGATGAACACATCAATGAATTGTGACACCTTGTGAAGCTCATTTGCCGTGTGCATGAAGTGGACAGCAGCATGCAAGTGACGGGGCGTCGAGTGAGAAGGTCTCAGGAATGAGTGAGCATCAGGACTCAAGTATTAGAACAGCAAGGGCATCTGCACATTTTCAGATGCTTGTGTCAGTCCTGAAACAGCCGCGTATTCCTCGTGGCGGTCCGAGTCATGTTGGCCAAGTCCCCGGGTTCGCCAAGTCATATGGGGCTGGTAGTTGCGTGTTGATGGCGACCATTTTCAGACACTCATCAGCCTCAATGGACATTATGGTGTAGTCGAGTTTGGGGGGGGGGAGGGGGGCGGAGCTTGGAGCTGGTGGCATTACTCGTTCACTTCTGACACAATTTAGCGTTAGTTGTGTCACGGAAGTATGGGCGGGCAAAGACGGACATGCCGTACATAGAGACACTTCTCTGTTTCAAAAAAGACAATGACACCTTTTACTGGGAATGAACACAAATCACACGTAGGGCCATATACTGTTGGCAGTCAAACATATAATTTACACTGTGGCGACCTTCTGCTACTGGTGGCTGAGCAAAGGGGCATAGCTTCCCCAGTCAACACTTCCCAATTTAACATGGTCACAGTTGCCTGCTGTGGCTGACTCTGCATATTAGTGGCCTGGAGGCAATACCAGCAGGCAGATTTTCACAAACTTTTTAAATTAAAATGTGCCAAATTTTGTTGCTGTAAACATGGCTATAACATCGTCTGGTCCTCTGTTGATGCATGCAGTGGTGTACTCGAACTCTGGCCTCGTAAACATGACGCCACGACAGGAGAGCGGGCCGACTGATGATGCATCCTTATATCCTTATTTTGGTTTGTCGACAGATTTCGTCCCTACAAGTCCCACAAGCAGGAACTACAGCAGCTAATAGCAGATTTCAAGACCCACAACCAATACGAGAAGGTGTTCTCCAAGTTAACAGACTTTGTCCCGGCCTCGTTTCTCACCAAGGCCCGGCAGGGTCCGTTCAAGGAGCATGTGAGTATCTCCTCCTCTGCTTGTGCTGCGTATGTCTGTACGAAGCCATACGCCTTCATTGGTGAAGCCTACTAGGCAGGCTTGCCAGTTGCAGTTTTAAAGGGTTCCTGTAATGCTTTGTCCAAGTAATCGTCAAATTATCCTTAAATTGGAGTTGATATTGCCAGATGAATTGATCGCCAGCGTAATTTTTTTAATCTGTCAAGTTCAAGCTTAGTTGCAGGGATTCGCCGCTCAACCTTAAGTGCATTTCCTTTTCTGTCATCGCACTGAGCACACTGAAAGCTACACAGGTGAGCATGACAAAGAATCTAGAAGCTAGGTCAGTGGACATTCACGTTCATGAGCACTTTCTCTTTTTACACTGGCGTGGGTTTCAGTTTGCCACAAGCATGCCAGTGCTGCTAATGTGGGCATGTAGTGGTCATGGTAACCAGGCGCCTCAAGAGTGCTCAAATCAGCCAGGTGCCGTGTCCTCTCTCCACTGACATAGTCTGTTCAAAGAGAAAAAAAACTGACATCAGGTTCTCCTTGAAATGTAACCCCCTCACACGTTCGCCGATTTGATATTTGGCTCTAGACTTATAGGAGTCTCAGCTACCGGCGTTTTCTAACCGTGTTCAAAAGATGTTGCAGGGCTGCTTTATATATTGTAGCATTAAAACACTGGGAAACCAGCTGGATTATTCCTCCTGTGTATTTTGCCTGAAACATAATGCCTCATCTTGTGATATGCTGTTGATTTAAAAACCTCACCAACAGACTTTGTCTTTTTCATTGCAGATCTTTCGTTACCTTCGCATGTTTGACAAGGAAGCAGGGTTCGAGGTTATGCGATGCGACCGTTACTCGATGGAAGGCAATGTGGGTGCCAAGATATGTGCAACCAAAAAATGGTGAGCCTTTTTCTGTGTCCAGGGGTCACACATGCTTGTTACCGTGCATCTCGAATAATCCAGCCGCTTCAGTTATAGCATTCACAGTGTTCAGTGTAACATACATTTGAGAAATTTCACATGTTCATCCTTCTCATGTTTGCCATGTTGCTTAGCAAGATCGACATTTGGCCTGTTTGTTCCCATTTGACATTTGTTTATGCTTAATTTCAACAATGAGCAAAAAGAGAAAGGGGATCACTGCATTGTCCTCTATTTTACTGTCTATAAAGCTACTTTTGCTGCAAATGTAATAGAAATATACGGCGATGTTTCAAAATGTGTCCAAAGGTACTGAAAAATGAGAGACATGATGCCTGCAGCGAAAGGCATTTTAAGATGACTGCTCGCCAATTGCAGCAGTAATTGCAAAGATTAAGCTAATTACCATAGACTTTCATATAATACAGTAGCTTCAGTTATATAATTCACAGTGTATAGTGTTGCATAGATTTGAAAATTTTCACATTTTCATCCTTCTTACGTTTGTCATGCTGCTTGGCAAGATCGACTTTTTAACTTTTTAATTTGAGAAGGTGATGCTGACTGTGTCTTGTGTGCCTATGATAGCTTTCATAATTTAAACCTTGATTATTGAAACCTCTAGTCTAAGTACGTCACAGAAAAAAAATTTCTAGTGTATCAGTGATGTTACAGTGCATCCGTAAAGTGCATATTTGCCGTATTTATCTTAACCTGAGCTGATTTCTGAAATTCAGGAGATGCAGAAATAAAAAAGTGTCCTAGTATATTAGCGGAATAAAAAATTGCATTCATGCTGTCAGAAGTACTGGCAAGAGTTTTGAGACGTGCTTTCAAAATGCTTAACATTAGCGACCATGGGCTCGGTGGACTATCATATTAATTAAAGTAGGTGTGCAGAAGGAAACGCTAATCTATTATCTAAACAAGTTTCAAGTAACGCTTCGAATGTATGCAACCTCGTTTACTTGTGTGTATATCATCTTCGTGGACATTCCCGCTTATCTTTGCATTCTGATAAGGTGATCTTCTTTTTTGTTTCACCTATTCTCATTGACGGCTCGGCAAGACAAAAAGAGACTCGCACATTTGTTTTGGGCATTGAGGCCCGTGTCATTAAGGTTTGGTGCATCTCTGGTTGCAGGTACAAGAACGAGAAGATCCCACACTTGGTCGGCTGCATTGCGGAGCTAACGGAGGAAGAAGAGTGCCAGCTGCTATGCCCCGGCAAGAACGACTTCAGCGTCATGTACTCCTGTCGAAAGAACTGTGCACAGCTGTGGCTTGGTCCGGCTGCTTTCATCAACCATGACTGTCGGCCCAACTGCAAGGTGAGCCCGTGCTGGCTGTCTTTTTTTTAAGCCTGTGTGAATGTTCGAATGCTTCGAATATTCGAGCGAGTATTAGAGCATTCGAATTCACTTTGACTCGAATTTAAAATATTCAGATTTTCGAATCGAAATGAACAAATGCATGTATATAAATCTGCATGTAATCTTTGGTAACGGTGGTTTCACTGCAGTGTAGGAGTGCTATGCCATGAAAGCATTTAGTCAAGGAAAGTCTTTGTTGCGGTGAAGCCCCACTTACAGGCTAAATGAACATAATGTTCTCCCTTCGATTCAGCATTCTTTAAGTTTAAAAGCTTGCTATATGGGCTTATATACTCCATGTATACTATACTTAATCTTAAAACGTAACACATTTTACAGGGGATCACTTGCAATCTACCTGAAGTCAAATCCTGCTACTATTTAAAATGGTGTTCACTTCTTTTAAACTACAAAATGGCATTTGCACAGGCCTTGTTTCAACTTTTGAAATATATGATGCAAGTCAGGACGAATATGCCCATTTTCTTTATATTATGTGATATATAATATACCTGAATTCGCTTCGAACCTGAAATTCACTATTCGCCCTAAGTCTACTTTTTTTACCCGTCGCTTTAAGAACTGAAAAACAGATGCATGAGTAGCTACCATTGCGCAAAGCGTTCTCTTTTTGTTTGTGTACTCTCGCAATAGGGCCTCACGAAAGAAGATGAGGCGTCCAGACGTTTGCAGAAGAGTCGAGAAGCAGATAAGACAAATTCTCGCCCACTTTAATATCAACTTTATGTTCTTCCAAGCAGCCTAATTTGGTGCATGCTATATTGACTTGTGTGAATATAGCTACTTTAAGGTGACAGCTTTACACTCCTGGCACAGGCCCTGAAAGTGGTTGGATGTGTGGCATTCAAGCTCAGCCAAGGTCAATTTCTTCGTCTTCCTCCTCGCACACGTGTCGTCATAGCAAAAGATATGCTTAGTTTAGGCTTGTTCTCTTCTGTATACTCCTGTTCATCAGTCGGTGAGAGCTGGCGGGCACTCACACCTAGAAACCTCAGTTCTTCTAAGAGGTTTCTAGGTGTAGTTTACTCTTGCGACGGCATACAAAAAGAAATGTGGGCTGCTTGCTGTGTGGGACACCCCAGTGGCATGCTTTCCATAGCGGTTGCTGCTTCTGCTTTACAAGTTGGTTCAAGCTTATTCAATCATGACAATTTCATTTCAAAGTAAGGTTGAAGGGAACTTTATTTGTATAAAATAATTCTGAAACGAATTTGAAAAGCAGTAGGGTGAAAGCTATAGGGGGTAAAGTGCATTTCATCTTAATATTTGACCTACTGAGCTTGTGTGCGCCTGTTGTGCATTTAAACTTTAAAAAAGGATTAATTGAATCGCAGTTAATACGCGCTTTTGACCGTGAAGTGAGCTCCATGGCAGTGCTGATTTCTTTTGTATAGGCGTCTTCATAGCACATGCAAGGTCGTCTTGCAGTGAAACCATCTTTTCAGGCAGCTATTTTTTTTTAAATGCTTCGAAATATTTGGAAACTTCAAGTTCGTATCGAAGTGAATTCAAATGCTGTAGCATTTGTTAGAATATAGAAAGTAGACAAAATAGAACTAGAACTAGAAAGTATACAAAATAAAGCATTAAGATTTATATATTCGAAGTACTCAAGACACCAAAGCGTAATAAATCGGGCAGCATTGCCTACCTTTGCGTGTCGGCGTGTTGTGGCCGCAATGAAGTTTCTTTTTATGCTTTATTCACGACCACATAAACATAAACAAGCAAGACTACGTGCAGACACCGTACCGTCACTCCATCAGAACCTGTCACAACAAACACATCAGGCCTTATCAGGCTAAATGCGACAGGTTTAAATATTCTTTTTTTTCATGGGCTTTTGAAACTTGGAATGCTTTACCAAGTGAAATTGTTGAATGCAGATCTGTGGATGAATTTTTTGCAAAACTGGAATTCTTTCTTGATTGTACATAGGCATGTACTTTATGAGGTAATTGTTTGCAGAAGCTTGTTCAAATGTTTGGTGCTTCTTGATGTGTGATCCCATTTGTGCCTTTTTTTGGGATGTTGGTGATCTATTACTGAACCATTATTTACTGTGGTATTCTGTTTTCTGTTATTGTTTTCGTTTTGCTATGCCCATACTCATGTATACTTTTTCTAACCACTTCCTGTATGGGCCTGTACAAAGGCCTACAGTATTATTAAATAAATAAATAAATAAATATTCGCAGTTCTCTAATACTCTCACAGGTCTTGTGCGGTGCACTTGTGAGGGCTGTTAAAGGGGCTATGTCGGCCAATTTTCTATCATAATATGTGTTGTGAGGGTTATTACTTGTGTGTTGACTAGCTAGCTGTTGAAATTTTCGTGCATTTGGTTGAGTACTGAATTTATTATTGAATTTTTTTAAAAGATGCAAGTGGTCTGAGAGTCTGGCACCACTGGCACACTCGCGAGCTGTGACATAAAAAGCAGCTTGCTACGTGAGTGTCTGCATTCTGGCAAGCCGATATTGTTCCCTGGTGAAATCTAGATATTTTAGCTTTCTTTAGCTTGGGACTGAAATTGAACGATCTGTAGCAGCTGAAACTTTGGTAGATGACGATGGCTTCGCTCGGTGCATTACATGATGTCACAGACTCAGTGTCAAAATGCCCTTGCTGGAAGCAGGTGGTGTTTATAGCCGGCAACGTCTCTGGCTTGTTTTGTCCTGAAATATACTTGTCTACTTTTCATATACAGTTGAACCTGGATGTAACGAACCTGAATGTAATGAATTCCTGGATTTAACGAATTTTTTTCAATCCCTGGCACCATCCCCAGTAGAAGCCCATGTATTTGTGACTTCCATGTAACGAAGGTGTTGTGGTGATTGACATAAATGTAACAAAGTTTCGGCACTGATCATTTCTTATTTTGAGTCTTGACGGTGCTAAAATCTTGTATGTACAATGCGTAAGGTCTATAATATGAAAATTAATAATACAAGGGGGCAGCCAGCGGGTAGAACGCATGCCATTGCAGCAGGCAAGTGTGTGCCGCGATGATGATACAAGCATAGCTAGAATAGCTTGCGCCGCATAGCAGCGAACGCAGTTTTCTCATTGCAAAGTTTCGAGATGGTAATGCGGTGTGCCGTCTCGAAGGCCACGCTATGCAGCTTTTGCTTGTGAGCTGCGTCGTCTGATGGCGCTACTGCGCCGAACGGGTGAACGAAGCGGTAAGGTGGGTCAGGGGTGAGCCGCGAGGCGAGCGTCAGGCATTCCAGGCATTTCCTAGTCTCTTGTTAGGCCTCTCAGCTGTCCCTCGTTGTGAAAATGAGCTCTGTGCCGAGAAAGTGCAAGGTTTTGTCTTTTGAAGAAAAGCTTGCTATTGTAAATGCGGTTTCCGCGGGTGAGAAGAAGAAAGACGTCGGTGCACGATTTAATATCCCAGCCAGCTCCCTGTCAACGATATTGAGTGCTAAGGACAGCATCCGCGAGGCAGCGGAGTCGAGCACGGGTGCAAAGAAGGAAAGACTGAAGAAGTCAACATACGCCGATGTGGACAAGGCTGTCTTCACCTGGTTCCTGGACACACGGGCACGCAACATACCCATAAGTGGCACAGTTCTGCAGCAAAAAAACGAAGTATTTTGCGTGTATTCTTGGCCATGATTATTTAAAGGCGAGTAACGGCTGGCTGCAGGGGTTCAAGAGCCGGCACAGTGTCGTCGGTAGAGTGATTAGCGGTGAGTCCGCATCTGCCGACAGCGATGCTTCTGCCTCGTGGGTGGCTGAGAAGTTGCCTGGCATCTTGGACCGCTATGAGGCGGCGGACTTGTACAACGCCGATGAAACAGCGTTGTTCGATCATATGTTGCCAAATCGCACGCTCGAGCGCAAAAGGCGCGATTGTCGAGGCGGCAAGCAGAGCAAACTACGCGTCACTGCCTTGCTTTGTGCAAACAGTGACAGGCAGCGACAAAGGATACCATTAGTTATAGGAAGAAATGCCTGGCCAAAGTGTTTTAAAGGCAGCGAAGCTGGATGCCTGTTAGGTACATGGCCAATTCGAAGGCCTGGATGAGCCGTGAAATCTTCACTGAAAGGCTGAAGGCATTCAACAAAGATGTCAAGCGTCAGGGTCGCCAAATATGTCTATTGCTTGACGATTGCTCCGCACACCACATCGAAGGCCTTCAGTTGTCGGACATCGAGCTGCAGTACTTCCCTTCCAACTGCACGTCCCTAATACAACCGCTAGACAAAGGGATTATCAACAGCTTCAAGTGTTGCTATCGTCGTCGCGTCATTTGGAAGGTCCTCTTGGATATACGCTTTGAACAGCTAACAAAAGTAGACATTTATCAAGCCATTGAAATGCTTGCTGCTTCCTGGCAGGAAGTGAAAGCCGATACACTCGTGAATTGCTTCGTGAAAGCACAGGTGTTAGTGGTCACTGAGTCCGGAGTCGATGAAGAGGAGCTCCAGGAACCTTCAATTCCATCCGACATCAGTGAAGCGTGGGATACACTTTGCACGTATGGTGGAGTGCCTGATGATGTTGTACTTGATGACTTTTTGTACGCCGACAGTGATGCAGTGTCTACCGAAGCAATGTCGGATGTGACACTTCTTGAAACTGCCCAAGATCGCGGTGATGGTGAAGGTTCTTCAGAGGCAGGTCCGTCGCCATTGCCTACCGTGAAGGAGATCTTGGATGCGCTGGACGTTCTGTGCCGTCACGTTGGTTCACAGGATGATGAGGCAGCAGTGGACGACTTGGTTTCTCTGAACCGTTACAGTAACGTCATCTTTGACGTGGAAGACGCAAGCCAAAATAATGCAGTTTTTTTTGTGCTAAATAAATGCTTTTTGAGCTGAGTAGCATTGTATTGGCATCTGCCGCGTCTTCGTTTGGTTTTCGCGGTAGTTTCTCTAGTTTTATGCAAGATATTCTCAATCCTTGTACAGTTCTTATCTTTCTGCATTAATGTAAATAAACCTTCGCTCTTCCTCTTACGAACGCGTCTCCTCACTGGCGAAGATCGGCTATGCGGACGACGGCGGGGAGCCAGCTACTCTAAAGAGAAGCTACCTAAAAACTGCATGTAGCAAAAACGTTAATGTAATGAAAATGCGCGAACTTTTTCGAATTTCGTTACATCCAGGTATAACTGTAGTATATAGGCACAATAGACCCTTTTTTACTTCTATTTTTCTCTAAAGACCACAAATCGCTGGGTGACCGTGTCATGGTCCTTGGGTATGCTTCTCATTTGGGCACATCATTATGGTCTCACCCTTTCTTCATTGGTATCACTCCATGTGGTCTGTTACTATTGTAATGGTACGACCTGTACAGTGGACAGAATGGGCAACCATTATGGGGTGCAAATTCCCACTTTGTAGATCGTTTTGGTAGGCAGTTCAACACTTCATCAGTGGGTGAAAGAAGCAGGGATATGTGACCTCTAATATTCTAGTTCCTTGCATACATATCTTTTTTTTCTGTATTTTGAATTTCCTATGCTGAATAACCTCAGACTTCGGGCTCCTGTCGGTGACATTATTGCTGTGTTTATCTGTCCCACATAATTCTATGCATTATACAGTTAAAAAAATTATGTTTGAAAAGGTGTTATAGAGCCTCTTTAACCTGATTTTTCGCAAAGCATTACAGGCAAGCACTGTGAAACGTCCCAAGACATCATGCAAGGTTTTGCCAGGTCACCTATGTTTGTCTACTTCATAAAAACTGCTTCTCTATGACAAGCTTGGCAAACTAGATGTGCATGTAGACCGCTCGGTGACTGGGTTACATAGAAAATAATGACGATATATGCAGTGGTTAGTTGAGAATCGTGAGTTGTCCATTATGCCACCGCGTCGCCTGTCTTACTTTCTAAGCATTCCTTAATAGGCATGACCATCAATAGTTATCGCACATTCATGGGAGTAAGCCGTAGTTCTTTTCTGCACTTTTGAGCTTCGTCTCGGCTCTTCTGGCTAGAAGGCGTGTTATTCTGCTCTCTTCTATGGCTACAGCGCTTCAGTGTGTTTCCTAGTGAAATGCAGGACTATTTGAAAACTTGTGTGGTTATTTTTATTGTTCAATTACAGAAACCTTGATTTCACAATTTCTGTATTTTTGCTCCAAGTACGACTCTCACATTCCTGTTCGACTGCATTAGTTTGACCTTCTACACTAATTATCTTTTCTGGCTAAAAGCCATGCCACATTTCATTGAGCACCCACATATCTCTGCTAACGTGCACACTGCCATTGAAGAAGCATAGGTCTGTCAAACAAAGCATATCGTCTGTAGCTTGCACTGGCATGTTATTCCTACATCTGTGCTGTACTTTTACGCAAATGCAGTTTGTGTCGACGGGCCGAGACAGCGCGTGTGTAAAGGTATTACGGGACATCGAAGAAGGCGAGGAGATCACCTGCTTCTATGGCGAGGACTTTTTTGGTGACGGCAACAGTTACTGCGAATGTGAAACGTGTGAAAGGTAAGTGAATGTGACCGGTGAGTAAGTGTACACCTTGTTACTAGGGGTGGCGTCACTGTGCGTTTGGCAGCTCAACAAACACTGCTATTGTATAATGGAGGAGTTTTGGAACGGGTAAAATTGAAGGTCTCCGATACTATTAAGAACCTCTGTACCAAATGATTAATCTTAAGGGTGTCTTGCAGAGAAATATGACACATGACACTCTGATTGCGTTTCAGGACATCGCGGATTACACTTTCACATGGCTAAAAATTAAAATGAACAATTTACCTTAATGATTACTGTAATTTGGGGCTGGTTTTATTTTGCCATGCGACAACCGTCTTAAAAAGGTCATTGCTAGTAGTGAAAGAAAAAGAATAAAAGTTTTAGAAAAGCAAGCTGACAGGCATGTCAGCCTCTTTATGAGCATTGCAAATGACATAGTCATTTGGTATAGTCCCTAACCATCTAAGCAAAGCATAGTATTTCTCCCACCAGTTTTAACATGGAAGTCCCGGAGAGAACGCGCATCTCTGGAAATGTGATGCTCTGCAAGGTGAACACTACAGCGGGAGGGGGGGGGGTAGTGGGAAGGGAGGGCAAGTGTATTCAACAAGAGTGGCTTATCGTAATTGTTGGGTGGGTGTCACTTGGCAACAGAATTCTGAAGGAGGCCGTACAATGCTTTCTTCGGCTTGTTGGTAGTCGTGGCTCCTGAGAACACGTGAGCCAAGTATATGGCAGGACGCTGCTCAGAACTTGCGAGGAATTCTCAAAGTCAGCTAGAAATAGTTCCCTCTTGACAAATGATACCAGTAACCCACATGACCTCACCATAAGCCCGAAGTCCACGACCCTTGTGGCTGATTTGAGGATTCTGAGCTGCATATTTACCGCAGCCACCGCGGGATGCTATGATGTGCCGGCACATCCCCCACTCACACTGTCACTCCCACTGACACTTCACACATTCGGGGGAAAAAAAAATGTGGTCAAGGTCATGACATTCTTTGAAGAACAGACATAGCTTCTTGTCCCCCTGTCACCTCCCCACCCTTGCGCATAGCTTTCAGCATGCATAGTGGTATGAAAGGAGATAGAAAGTGCCTAAATGTGTGACAGATTTTGTAACTCTGCTTGCAATTCGTGGATTCTAAAAATTCTTCCAGCTATTGATTCGTAAAACAGCAAACTCTTTTAATAAAGCTATTCGATGATTACCTGGAAAATATTGCAGAGGAACTTGCAGGATAACTTCATAGTTTGCTTTTAACGAGAGGATATCAGTCGCTATGAGTGTGGACTGTTTCAGACGGAGCTGCGCAACAATATTTCAGTTGTGGAAGTTGACGCTAGTCGATGCCTTCGTGAAATGTGGGTGCATCCCCTGCGCAGGCGAGGCACTGGGGCGTTCACCACCAAGAAGGGCCGTCAGCCGAGCTTGATGGAAACTAGGCTGGCGTACAGTTTTCGAGAGACGGACAACCGCCTCAACCGCTGGAAGCAGCAGGTCAAGTCGCCCCAGCACAAGCCGCAGCTGCAGCCACAGCAGGCACATCACCAGCCAGGTAGTTCTTAGTTCACAGTGTGATGAGTACTGGATTACTCAGTGGACCCTGGTGATTGGATGCATTAAAGATTGCCTGATAAATATGCAGAGGTTTATATTAGACAAGGACATACCTGCTGAGTCTTCTGGCTTTTGCGGGTGACTCTCTGACTTCGACCAGTTTTTACGTTTGTCGGCGTCAGGAAAATCTCCCGGAAATAGAAACTGCTGCGCGTGATCTAGCCGCATTGCCAAAACTGCACCGCAGTCTGATCAAGGGTTTCAGCGAACCCATCGCATTTTATTGTAAATGAATTTAGGGGGCGTTCATCTAAATGTACAACCTAATGATGCGAAACCAGCGGATACAAGTTCGTGAAATTCCCCATCCAAATTTCAGTATATGTTCATTGAGTCAAAATTTGGACATTCCAAACACTTTCCGTCATTGCGGTGGGTCGTATGAACTTTAGTAGCGAAACCGTCGAACGAAGGGCGAGAGCAGTGTGCTTGAAGATTCAGAAGAAAGCGCACGGCCAGCACACGCACTGCCAGAAGTGTGGTTATCGTTTACCACAACCGCTGTGGATAAAACAGCGGTTGCTCTTGACACGATCATGTATGGCGACAACGTAACTGACAGAACTCTTGTGGAAGTGCACGCGCATTCCACGCTTGACCAGTCGAAGCGATGTTGCTTTCACAAATGCCGTGGACAAAACTGTTGCAGATGCAATGATAGATCGCAAAAAAAAAAAAAAAGATTTGGTTTTGAAAGGACATGCACAGCCCACGCACACAAATTCAAAACGCAACTACCATTTTCAGCAACCGCCGTGCGGTAAACTGCGGTTGTGGTGATGCGATTAGTAGCCGAGGTCACACGACTAACGCAGCGGTAGATTAAAAGGGCAGACTGGTCTTAGGGACCAAAAAGTGACAAAAAAAATTCATTTTTTAATATTGACATATTTGGTTTCTGCAAGTATTTTTCTATCTCCGCACCAGGAAGTAGCAATTCTCTCGCAATATTATTGTAACTGTTCAGATTCTTCGTGCTGTTAACATGCAGAACCTGCAAAGAAAAGGGGGAACAAACTTCAAGGCTTCTTTATAATTTGTCGGTACCTATGTTAGTAGCTCTGCAATGAATTTATGAGCACCTTTATGAGGATCGCAAAACATGCGCACCATGATTGTTGCTTTTTGAAAAAGCTGTGTTTCCAGTTTTTTCCAGTTTTCTTGAAAAAGTAAATTTTTAACTATTCAATTTTAAGGCCTCAATATCTCTGCAGCTAGGGCAGGTACAACAATAATTCTTGTTTCAATGGAAACCTGTATGTATGTAGAATGCAAGTATGGGAGCAGAATTTAGAGCACAAGCCTTTTTAATTAATTGCTCATCAAAATTGTAACTCAATTCCAACTGCTTTTCAAAATGGATAGTTCATTTTGCTGGAAAGTAACCAAGAATGGCCCCAAAACAAACAAAAAAAACTTGCATACTTTCAATCTATAGTAATTTGTCTATGTTGGCGTATCTTAAATATCATTTTTAATTGAGCACTTTTTTCCTGTGGTGGCCTTAAACAATAGGGGTGAACTTAAGTTATCTCAGGAACAAGATGAGTGACAGGAAAACGAATTAAATTTTGAAATCAGCAGGAAAAAACTGCATAATCATGTGCAGTTTGATCTAGATCGCTGAAGAAATAAACAAAAATTGTCTAAGACCAGTCTGCCTCCTTAAAGGCAAAAATCGGATTAGGAAAACCCGAGATAAACATGCAGTTTGTTCGTTAATACGTACCCGAATGAAATGAAGTTTAGGGGTGTTTTGGTTTGGACAATTTGTGTGCGCTGTCTGCGAAGTTTAAAGACAATAAAGACGTAAAAAAGACTAGAAACTTCCTGGCATTCCTCTTCAAAGAATCTATGTTCCCGTTGTCCTGCATACTTTGGCTGTACTTCGGCATTCAGTTATCAGTTGTCCTCTAGCGAAGCTTTGACCCGCGCTTTCCCAACAGCCGGCTGCGTCGTTCCGTCCGTTCACGTGTGTCTAAGAAAGACAAACACGAGTTCTTTTGGCAGAAATATATTTTACTTGTTCTTTTAATGAAACGAAATTTCGGGAGAGACGAGTATTTTCGCCCATTCTTTGATGCTCTCGCCTTCTACTGTTGTTGCGAAACCCTATTCTCGCGGGTGTTTGGCCACTCGAAACCAAGTTCGGCCACTCAAGACCTCAACGCCGATGTTTACGAACCCCCCTCCCACACTTTTTTTTGCTTCTTTTTATGTGCAAAAAAGGGGGTCAAGTAAATTGACTCAACGGTCCAGCACGAGCTGCCACACAGGCATTTTCGAAGGCCATGGGGTCAACGGAGCATGCTTCAACTCCATGAAACCTTGACGGCCATGGAGCGACGGAAGCTGAAATGACACGAACGTGACCTTTTGTTCACAGCGTACTTGGTGTACCCGTACACACAATTAGAAACAGGATTAGAAAAAAAAAATGTAGAAATCTAACCAGCATGTTTTAAAAGCAGTGTATGTGAGGGTTGTGAATTATTTAATAGAGTATTCATGCACTTTAAACGTGCTAACTGCACATACTCTCGAGCGCAGCTACGTGCTCGTCTTCGATGTATATAGGTAGCCACCATTATACGTCACCACAGTTTCACCACAGTTTTGGTGCTCAATAACTTAAAGCCGAATATGCATTGGTAACTTAAAATCAACAGTTTATAAAATATTCAGAATCGACGACAGACATTGTGAGTTTCTAAGTGAACTTGAGGTAACATGACTACGAAAATAAGGATTCCGCAGCGCTAACAGTTTTTGCGATAAACGCCTGAACCACTCAACTGCCGTTTAAAACTGCTGTGTAGCAGCACGACAACTCATATAGTTTATACTTAATAGAGTTGTAGCGTTTCGATGGCCGGCGACTGGATGGCCTTTCAAAAGGGCCTGTGTGACACAAGTATGACTAAATGTAGAATTAGCATGAGAGAGCGAACTGTAAAAACTTGACAGCGTAAAAAGCCTGGTTTCAGATAGTGTAGATACAAAAGGACCTGCAATGGGGCAACATTTTACCCATGGAATACGAGTGGAGGCATTGTGTCAAAATGGAGAAAGGAAAGAATGCTGCCTTTACCACTTGCGTGGTGTGGCACCTCACAAGGGCTTGACCTAGAGTGTGTGGCTTTTTGGCATGAAAAGGGGACGAATATAAGAAGTGACACGGACAAACGCCTGTTTGCTTTGGCCTCACTCATAGAGAGAGAACATTTATATATAAAAAAAAAATGGTTCATCGTGGGTGGGGCTCCACTGGCTATAGCGGCTCGGTGGGCCTGATCGAGGGTTGACAGTTGGCTTCTCAGGGTCCGTAGGGTAGGGTCTGACGCCTGTATAATAAACGTCAGGGCAGTTCTTCAGTCGCTGCAGCCTCTGTACTCGAGCTTTTCGGCGTCATGTATGGTGATACGAATGCATATTGCCAGGGATGGGCTGCGTCATGATGCGCTGTCTGAGATTTTGTGAGAGTAGGTTAGAGGCGGCCACCATCTGCATCAGTGCGTTATCCTGTTCAATTGCTGTTTGAAGGTTGCTGACAAGAAAACTGCATCATTACCAGAACTGTAGCCTTGCCAAGGTCACTGCTGTGCAGGGGTGGTCCAACTGTGCCATTTGCACTATTTTGCTACATTTCGACCTCTGTGCATCTTACTGTGCTCATTCAAGTGCATCCTGTGCACATGAACATGTGGAGTGCTTTTGGCTCAGATTATTCTTGGTTTGGCACCAAATGCATGTACCTTTTTGATGTTGCTGTGAAACCCACTCCCCTCTTTCTATCAATGCACTTTTCCTTGTTATTGTCAGCCTAACCAGAGTACATGTGTGTGAATTCCTTTATAGACTTTTCGATGTGGTGTCCGATCTCGAAGCTCATTGCTCTTGATGAAGAACTGGCAATAATGTGTAGATCAGTGATTTTTGGTGAAGGAACTGTATGTCTGTCATATTATAACACACGCTTGTCGTGCAGCTACCATTTGAGGCACTGTGCACTGTAAATAGTGCCTGCATGAATAATCATAACAACAAAAACAACAACAGTAAAAAGAATGTCACAGGAACAACCCGCGAGGTTTTATGAGCCAAGAACACATGGCATCGTCACGTGAATGAAGATTTTGATGGGTATTAGTTTTATTGATGGGTATTAATCGCAAATTAAGTGTTTTATGTAGGCTTGTGTTAATAGTAGATTTTAGGTTCGAAACATACTAAAAGCAAATCGTGGTTTCGTTCAAACAATTTCGAATGAAATTCGAATACAGTTAAACCTGCTTATAACAAACCTCCATATAATTAATTCCTCAATACAACAAAGTTTTTCTATTCCCCGTCATTGCTCCATAAAAGCACATGTATTTACGACCTCTATGTAAAAGAAAGTAACAGCGGGAGACAACCTTCATATAAGGAATTTTCTCCACGAACAATCTAGAAATCTTGCTCTGCATTTTGGTATTTTGGTACGAGCATGCATCTTCCGCGGCTGCCCCACCGCCGACGAAGTGTGAAGCGGCGACGTCGTGCACGGCACCTGGCGAGAGAGCGAGCGCTTGTTATTGTGCGGGGGCGAGCGCGAGGCGGGCAGGCGGGCGTGCACCTCATGAGCCAACATTGCAGCTGTTCTCGCCGCTGAGGGCGTCGAGAACACAAAGGTGCCCCCCCCCCTCCTAATTCAAACCAAAATAAAAAGCTACTTTTGGGCGTTGGCAGTGCCACGCTTTTAATTACCGTCACATATGTGGGGCTGTGCTGCATATGGAGAGCACTTTACCGAATAGTTTTCCGCAGTATCCGTGTCTGTGTCCGTGTCGTTCGCTCTTGGTTTTCAGGGTCGTGCCCACATGCATAGTTTCACTGTGCGCGCATGGTGTGGCCGCTAACGATGGTCAGCTTTTCTTTTTTTTATTGCGGTACCAA